CCCTGGACTAAATTCCATCCACTGTACTGGAGAAGAATCAACAATCACTAACTGCAGTAGAGGATCTCTAACAGTCTCCAACCACAGCATGACAGGAGCCATCTGCCACTCCTCAGGTAGGTACCTATTGCTGATAGTATTTGCATAAGGGCAGTTCCCTTGGGCTTACTTGCAGTGTGTGGCTGTACTAAGTAAATAGTGTAGACTTCCTAGTTGACATTATTGTCATACTGAGGTTTTGACTAGGTAAACAGGTGGGTCTGAGGCTTTGGGTGGCTGTCTGCCATCATTCTTATTATTATCTTTTTGTGTGACTCATAACCTTTTTATGTATAGAAGATGAAAATTCGATTGGTATTATTAGCAACTGTACAACTGGTGGACTCAGACTAGTAAATGTGATCACTAGGAGGCCTAATGCTCAAAGCTTTGATGGAGTTGTCCAAATGTGCATAAATGGACTGTGGAAGCCATTGTGTCACAATGAGACGACTGATAATGAGGCCATCGGGAAAGTCACTTGTGACCAGCTTGGTTTCGGTAAACAAAGTAAGTGCATGCAGGAAAGGGTGCATGTCTGTACATGATGCACAGTAGGGGAGCATTAGATCCATCTTTGGAGTATTGATTGCTCCTAATTGGAAATTATCAAAAAATCAATTTGATAAATATAGATATTGGTACAAGCAATAAGATACCCTCACTCCTCATACAGTATCACGCTATATGTTACTTTGTCTTTGATAATGTATAGGAATCCATTCTTCTAAAAGTATTTCTCATCAAAATCCCGGAGTCCACCTCAACCTTAACTGTAACGGCAGCGAATCTAGCCTCCTAGACTGTGCACAAATCATACATTTGAGCAAGTTCAGGCTGCTTACCTGCAACTTTAATACTAAAGTCCATTGCTCTGGTAAATGCATTAAACACTTTCCTAATTGTGCACATTCAATCCCTTTCTTCTACTCTTTAGCTCCTCCTGTTCGGATTTCGTCGCTAACTCCAGAATCAGTGAATACAGTCGTATCTGAAGGTTCTTATTCACCTGTTAAACTCACCTGCTCTGCTACTGGTACCCTACCACTTGTTGTGCGATGGAACTTCCTATCGACTAATCTCACGGTTGCATACCTGAGGACATTCACCAATACAGTCAGCGGACCAAACCTTACATCAGTATTGACTATTAGTGATCCAAGTCCAGCTAGCAATGGAGAATATGAATGCATTGTGGAGAATAGCCACGGGGTAACCAGATCCAGAAAATCGATAGTAACAATTAAAGGTAATTATAATAAAACACAGCTTTGACTAATTATGCCATAGTGAGTTTACCACGATTGATAATAAATTCCCTTGAGTGCCAATACATGAAAGAATCTTTTCAAATGCAATCTGTAATTATGGAGTAGTAAATTCTAAATAGTATCTCGTTACAGGGCGTAATTGTAAGACAGATCCTGTGACATTGAGCTTTTAATAGAATCTTGTAGAGTGCAGGCTCTAATTGTGGAATAGTAAATTTTAACGATATCTTGTTACCGGCTGACATTGTAAGACTAACCCTGCAATAAAGGAAGGGATAACGAAATCTGCTTTAATGTGGGCCCTTGTAAAAGTATGAGCTTTGCCACCCGAGAAAAGGAAGCAGCATAACCGGCAATCATAGTTTAAAATCATTTTCAGCAATCGCACCTTTTAAAAATCATTTTGCAGGAAGCAGCCATCCCAAGAGAGAAAAGGGTACCACAAATTACCAGGTGGTAGCTAAAGCCTCCAGCGTAAAATGTACATACCGAGACCTGAGAACACACATCAAATAAGGAGAAGCCTCTTTACCTATGACATTAGGAAGGTCATACCATAGCAACGACTACTGGATTTAATAATAATGCCATGTTAATTCATTTATGTCATGGACTATGCCCATATCATTGTTTGATGGGAAAAAATTGTTTTTTATTTTCTTAATTTTTAGTTCCTCCAACAATTGATGTGGAGTCTGAGCCCTTTGCTGAAGAAGGAGCAAGTGCAGTCATGCTATGTACTGGAGAGGGCTATCCCGCTCCTCTGCTCTCATTCTCAAAGAACGGAGTGAGGATCCTCACTTCCTCTTCCTCTTGTCACATGACCAGCAATAGCGTGTTCCCTGGGGTGTACAGGTGTACCCTGAGTTACAGTATTACTAATGTCAATATGTCGGATGCTGGCTCTTATATTTGCGAAGCGTCAACTAACGGAACGTTCCCAGTCCAATATAAAACAACATACTTATCTGTTTGGGGTGAGTCTATCTATTATCCTTAATCTCCTTATATATATACATGTACATATACATTTGTTGTGATATTGTAGGAGCTCCCAAGGTGGTGAAGAAACCAGCCAACACAACAATCTTCCTTCATCCAAGTGACTCGGGAGTCGTTGCTAATCTAACGTGTATCGTAAAAGGTTTGCCATTACCTGTCATTGACTGGTACAGGATTGCAGAAGGAACACTCAGGAGTCTCATTGAAGGAAACAGCGAAGAGAAAAGATGGAGGATTGTAACTAAGAGCTCTCTATCAGAGTCTACAGTACATTCCAGTTTACTTATCAGTAACATTAGAAGTGAAGATCAAGGGATGTATCAGTGTATTGGTGCCAACAGTTTGGGATCTGTTAGGACCGAGGCTAGTCTATACGTACATGGTAAGCTTATACTGTAGCTCTCCTTTGTATTTGAACTCAGTCAAAGTTGAGAGCATGATTTGACCACATAGACCTGTAACCTGATAAGGACAAATTTATTAAATTACTGACTATACTTGTACTTGGATAAACACACAAGCCGGTACAAGCTATTATTAAAAATCCTTTTATTACATGCATAGCTGCCCACTCAGCCATCATACAAGCCCTTCCATCCTCTGTACTGATCGAAGGAAGCAAACTGACTCTTCTCTGCAGTGTATATCATCAACTCAGTGCAAAAGAATACGCTAGTTTTACTTGGACTAAAGATGACGAGCCCATAAAGCAGAAGATACCATTCAACTCAGTGATGACATTTAAATCAATCTCACTCGCAGACTCTGGTCAATACCAGTGCATATACAGGACATCGACCGGGCAGACTTTAAGAGCATCCATTAACATAAGAGTAGAAGGTATGGATTGACTTTTAAAACAATATTCGTCATCATTATGTATATTGCTTATAGCTCATCTTAAAATTCAGTTAAAGGGTGACAGCCCTGTAGTGTTTGGCCATAAGATGTGGCTCATGATAGAAAGCAACAAACCAACCAGTGGAATCCACTGCTCCGTAGGAAGACTAACAAAGGACTGTAAGTCACGTATCCACTAACCCACAAATGAGTTGCATACTTTATGATAATTACAACAACATTATACGTGCTATGTACTTTGCCACTATATTCCAGAGTATTTTAATGGATGCATTCTCTTGTATGTGCATGTATGCATAGGCTCATCTGGTGAAGTAACTTTTGATGATCTATCGTGCAGTATCCACAATATTGAGCCATATCCTCTCTCGCTCACCGTCAATGCTACAAGTGCACTTGGTGAAGTCTCTCTCATTGTGAGAAAGTTTTACATGGGTAAGCCCACAGTATGTCATTACCGCCCAATGCTACAAGCTTGTGGGGATGTGTGCTTCCTTGATTAGCCCATATGCAGCTGAGGAGCTTTGTGCGGCTTCAGCTGATTATTTCAAAGAAGCTCCACAAGCTCCTCGTTTCTCTTTCTCTGGTGTGGCCTCTGACTTCATTTGTTATGCATTGACTGGTTCATTGAGAGAGAGAGACCAATGGGCACAATAACAGATGTTATTTATATGCGCATGCAATCAAAACCTGCAATAATGTATACCTGCATACAGTGTCTGTCTTATCACATGTCTCTTTATGTTGCACAGACTCTCCTCTCCTTTGCTCTGTCCATCTCATTAATGAAGGGATAACAGTCAATGGTAGTCAAGTGATGGTGGAGTTTACAGGAATGGGACCAGTCAAATACTACAAGTGCAGTTTGGACTCAAACAGACCTCGTTTATGTAAGTCAAATATTTCTTCTAAAAGTCTTTATAAAACATCATTATTTATTAATTTATCATCATCATTATAGGTAGCAGCCCATTGGTGTTGAACAATGTTTCTGGAGGATATCACACTCTGACTATAAGGCCAAGAGGTTGCTACAGCAGAGTTGAGAAACCCCTCTCTGAAAGCTTCATGATCGCTTGAGATCAAAGAAAGACATTGCAAAAATAACTAATGATTTATTATTATCATTATTACTATTATTGAGCTATTATTATTATTATATTGAGAGAGATGAGTTTTTTTCATTCGATTCATTAATTGTTGTTTTTTTTGTAAAATTTATTTCCAAAGTTTTAAACACTTTGCTGAACACAGAAACAGTTCAATTGGCACACAGGTGGTTCCGCTCTGATCCACTGAAGTGAGGCTCGACGAAACTTTAGACAAATCTAATTTTGCGATATAGTGAAGGTAGGCATCAAAACAGTGCATCCCACAAAGGCATTTCTTTGAAGAGTCCAAGTAGTGACAGAGAGCCACTGGAATGGTCTGTGTATTGTAAAGCAACCTGTATAGAGAAAGAGAAGGGAAGACTGTCATTATTATAGTGCACCTGCAACAATTGTAGTGTACTCTTTCATTGTTGCTACTGGTCAGGTGCTAAATTGATTACCAGTAAACCTAAGATGGGTATGTCACAGTAATAACTTTTGAGTTGGTTATTAGGCAACCACAGGCAAGAGAATAAATGCTGTCATCCCCTTGACTTCAGAGGCTGGATGAAGCTCTTTACAACGTTTCAAGCAATAATCAAAGGACTCATACAATAAATTATGAAAACAAGCCTTTTTGAAGGACATTCACAACAATATCATAATACCATATAAAGTACACCAGTCAAGGAAAAGTGTACACAGCATTACATGATGTTATGCAACTAAAAAAAGCCTCCTGGAGTGTATAAACTGACACTATACTGACCTTGCACCTATTAATGAGGTACTTTTTAACATCTACATGTACATGCACTTCATTGTTCAAAAGCACAATGAAGAACAGTCTGACCATTAGTATCACAATATTTTTCATCCATTATATGACCAATGTACACCCAAAGATAAAAATTGTGATCTTTTAAATACAAGGCTCACTACATGCAGTATCATCAACACATGAATGCACATCAAGAAGTTTATCAAGAAGTTTTGCATTGCTAAAGCATTACAGCTGGATGCATTGCTAAAGCGTTACAGCTGGATGCATTATACTGAAGTAATAGTTAATGAAAAGTGTGAGATCTAATGACTCCCACATGTAACCCATTTCCAACAGCTGGAGACATATGTAACAGGTAAGTAGACACAAGGCCATACACCGTATGTAGACACCTCTCATATTTTGCCCTAGGGAACCCTTAATGGATTCTGTGGGCAAAATCTAGCCGTCATCAATCACAATTGTAGTACCCCGTTATGGCATCATTTAATAATGACCATTCATGAAAGATTCTTTATAGTCTCGCCTGCAGTAGACTCTTCACCACATAAAGGCTCACACGACTTCCTCTATTCACTTTGATAGCTACACGATGCATGCATAATAATAACGACAGCTATAGAATAGTTACATTAGGAGCATTCTAAGAAATTTTGGCCAAAAACCATGCACATGCTTTTTATCTAAAAATGGCTTTGTTACATTTTTCTGATACATATTGATGCTCTCTTTGCTACAAAGCCATTTTGAGCTGATTACATGCTCAAATTCTTGAGTTATGACTATTTTAATGGGCAAATTTCTGAAAATTTCCCTGTACTATAGCCTGTGGTTTTTTCCAAAAAATGGCTCCAAAATCACTTTAAGTTTGTACTAATACATATTGATGTCCTTATGCTGTGTAGCAAGTTTGGGCTAATTCCGACTTCAATTTTTCAAGTTACGGCCATTTAAAAAATGGGCCAATTTCTGAAAAGTACCCTGTACTATAGCCCATGGTTTTTTCCAAAAAATGGCTCCGAAATCACCCCAAATTTTTATTACATTTTTTGATACATACTGATGTCCTAATGCTATGTAGCAAGTTTGGGCTAATTCCGACAAAAATTTTTAAAGTTATGGCCATTTAAAAAATAGGCCAATTTCTGAAAAATACCCTGTACTATAGCCCATGGTTTTTTCCAAAAAATGGCTTCGAAATCACCCCAAAATTTTATTACATTTTTTCACACATATTGATGCCCTTATGCTATGCTGAAAGTTTGAGCTAATTCCGAGCTCAATTTTTCAAGTTATGGGACATGAATTGAGCTAGATTGGTACTACAGTGCTTAAGTTTGAATAATGATTGCATTAACACACTTTTGTTTCTTGATGACTCTAGCAGACAGCTCCATCAGTCCCGGCATATTCAAGTTCTTGCACCTTCTAACGAGGCCGCCAGCTTTAAAAGGATTCCCATACAAATCAAGCGATTCAAGTCTCAGCCTTGAAAAGGAAAAAGGAAGAAGGACGAGTTTATTTGAAGAGATTGATAGAAACCGGAGGCTTCCTTGCAGCCTCCCAAACCCACGAGGTAAAACCTGCAACTCGTTACAATCCAATTTCAGTTGGACGAGCGATTTAAAGAGATGAAAAGACTGTGGTAAGTAAGTAAGAGAGTTTCTTGATAAATCCAAAACCTTCAGACTACTCGCAATAGCCCCGTAACCGACAGCAGCTGGCAGTTCTTTTATCTGATTCCCGGAAAGAATGAGCTCACTTAGTGATAAGTCCTTCAGCTCCTCTGGTATGACTTTTATGACATTGCCACTCAAATCAAGATGCTGGAGCGATGACAGGTTGAATATCCTCCGATCAAATCTGGTCAGTACTATATTGGGAGCGACGAGTCTCTCAAGGGAAGATGGAAATCCTGCTTCAATCGGGTACTCACCGCGAGACTTGATCGAAAGCCGCGTGACAGGTTTGTCAAGGTCTCTCATTTTAGGCGGGAGGAGAGGAGCAACCGATACAGTCCCTTGCTCCTTTGGGCTTAGTCTGAGGAGCAACAGGAACTCTTTTAATTTTACAGGATCGGCCTAACAAAATTGAAGGAAATGTACACCCACGCATTTAATTGGCCTCACTTTGCTGATACAGAGGTCGTGGGCGGGGTCGGAGAACCGAATGGTGGTTTTACCATCTTTTGTAAATTTGTCAAAGATCTGGATCACGTTTTTCTTAAGCTAAAAGAAAGAGCAAGTCAAATAGTCTTTATAGTGGATTCACTTTATATGTGGATCCAGTGACATTCTTTACTGTAGAAACTATCAAATGAAGCTCGTCTTTTCCTTTCCTACCTATAGAGAGGAGACACCTCGCCTTCTTACTCTTACTATCCCCTACACTTCTAGCCAAACGATACAATACCTCCAAATCACAGGACAGTTTCATAATCCCGCCATAGCCCGCCTTTAATCACGTGACTAAAAGTACCACGCCCCATCTAATCAAATGATTAACCGCCACGCCCACTTTCTATAATAACAATGTACATATACTATGCACAAAAAACTCTTATTTTGTGAGCTAAACAGAAAGATGGGAGAAGGGAGGATAGTCATTAATTCATTCAAGAGTAGTTTTGGTTGACAGACGAGCCAATTTCCTTATCTTCTTCCTTCCATGACCCTGCCTGACATCCCTATGTGGATAAAAAACAATAATAATATTTAGTATAATTATTATAAATTTAGGCTACAATGCAATGGGTTACCTGATCTGGTTATTGACCTTAAAGAAGACTTCATTATACACTAAACCGGAAGCATCCATTGACTTTGGAATCTTTGCCGATCTCATATCTGCCGACATTAATGATGACACATGGCATTAAATCACTTAATGTTATCAAGTACCTTCAAGTTCGGGGGGCTCTCTCTTTCTCCCTACTGGTACTACATCTACAAGAATACAGCATAAAAATTAAGACATACATGTACATATTAAAACCACAGACTAATAAATGCTACAGTAGTGCTTATATAATGTTACATAAGACTCCTTAATTCTTTATGATTACAATAAAAATGATGACTCACTGTTTCCATAGCTTCCTGCGCTAACAGCTGTGGCCAGTAGGGGAGGAGAGCCCGGAGGAGGTTTCGGTGGCACGTAAGTACCAGAAGTAGATATGGTACTACTAGCTCCAGATCCACCGGTAGGCTTGCACGAGAGTCTAGGAGCTTGCTTAGCTCTATATGATGGTGATATAGGCATGGGGCTGTTGTGGAGTCTGATCTGTTTGGGAGGAGAGGAGAGAGCCTTCCTAACTCTGTCAAGCTTCTTGTCTATTTGACACCGCTGCCTTTTCTTGTGCTTAACGATTGCTTCTTGAAGCTCTTTATCTAAAAAATATAACAAAAATCAACGCCTTTCTTTCTCTCTCTCTTTCTCTCCTTCCCCCTCCTCTCTCTCTCTCTCTTATACCCGAAGGTGTGACAACAGAATGAGGAGGGCTGATCAAAAAGTTAGAGACCCGAGCCGCCTTGCGTAACAAAGTCCTTCCAACTTTCTCCCTTGTGTAGAGCACAGTGGCGGATGGTATCATGTTGAATGGAAGGTGAGGTATGCAGGTGAGGTCATCTTTACCTCTAATCCCCTGAGACGATTGGAAATAAAAAAAATTAAAATAAATAAATAAATAAAATAAAGTTTTACAAGTATATTATAATCATACTACCAACTAATGTGTACCTTTTTATTAGCTTTATCCTGTCGCTCTAGAAGAGTAAAAAGATTATTATTATTTTTTTTTTTTTTTATTTTTAATCACCTTTAAGTGGTTTTTTCTCAATAAGTGGAGCAACAATGTCCCCAGCAGTACTAGCATCACATTCAACAATTTCTATAAATGCAAGAAAATTTAATTAAAATCAGCTCAAACTTTATATGTGAACACATGTACAGTGTATACGTGTATGCATCAGAAAAATTATCAAAATGGAGACTAATCTGAGTGAATCTTCTCACCCCATCTAGATGGTAGTTTAAGTCCACCGTACTTCCTCCAGTAGACATAGCAGTGTCCACAGAGGCGACAGTGGTCGTGGGCTGGCCCCCAGGAGACCCAGCGAGTGGAGACAGTAATACGACAACTCTCGCAGCCTTTCTCTCCATCACTAGCAAGAGGGATTGGAGTGTTCTCAGGCGGTATGGTCAGGTTGAGCTCTCCTGCAGAAGCTGCTTTTCCTATAAATATAAACAATTTTGTTATTTAATCAATCATAAATCATTTTCACTGTTATTAATGTAATTATCAGTGGGGAAAAACATGCTTCTAGATCTATGTACATTGTACATTGTACATGATTGAATAATTTCACTATTAATTTGTGTATAGTATAAGTACCAGTTAGATCTCTTGGTCCACTGGGAGGTGCACCCGATGGTGTCCTAATGTGTACTATAACTTCTTTCAAATCGTTTTGCTTTTCAATCATCCTGTGCCGCTTCTGTAAGTAAAGTAGAAATACATGTACATGTAGAAATACAAAATGTACATGTAACTCATGCAACCATAGTGGGAGCCATGTTACCTGTATTTGATATCGGTCGGTTGTTTTCCACATGTAGTAATAGGCTATTATGCTCTTCAGCGGTTTCCACGGTAACTAAAAGTAGGCGTGTCAGTTATGTTATAAAATTTAAACAACGACTAACATAGCGTCTTTGGATGTAAAGGAAATTCTTCTCGTCTTGTAGTCCTTCCTCAAACCTCTTGGCTTCCTCTGAGAGAGAAAGAGAGAGGGGGGAGAGAGAGTTGCAATATAAAGTATACATATAACTGAATCTAGATACCTTGTGACCACGCCTCCAATTCATCAGCACAGAGCACAGGCCCCCTGGGTACAAGCTTACCAGTGGCTGCATTTATATCATAAGAGCTTTGATGAAGCACATCCATGGCATGAAACTTTAAAAAAATACAAAATATTAACCTGATTACTTCAAATTTCAGTCTCAAACTATAATTTATGAATTTTGAGAAAACACAGGAATGTAATCCTTAAAAATTTTAACCATATTTTGCATTTGTACATAACAGGGACTTTACTGGCCGGCCCCAGGAATTGCTATATGTACAATGTACATGTAATACGTTAATACCCATACCAGTGTGATATCTCTAGAGGCGGCAGCTGCTCCAAGTCTCAAGCTGATCTGTGGTTTCTTTGATCCGTCCAGAAGAGCCCGAGCAAACGTGCCAATTGAGCGTGAGACAACCAGAAACTGCTCCACCTTGTTGTCAGCCATCTTGTTTGGCTCCCACAGCTGGTCCCCAGGATGGACTAGTTTTTTCTCTGATCCAGGACGAGGGGGGATGTACGGGGGTACGACAGCTTGGTAGTCCCCTCCGACACGAATCTCTCCCTTGTCAACCAGTAGAGTCTTTTGGTTCGGATCATAGACCATCGTATAGAAGAACGTGTCCTCTTTCTCCATGTACGAGGAAATGTCTTCCAGTTCATTCAGAAAGCTAACAGAACACTTTCCTCTTTAGAAGGAAAAGAAAGATGGTTAAAAATGAATACAATGGAAAAAGCATAATGTACATGTACTTGCTATTAATGTACAAAATTAGCATTATTATTATTTCAGATGCTTCATAGCATATAAAAATGTATTATAAAATACCATAAATGCCAAGTAAGACACTAAAGAGCATATATTTACAATTCAAAATGCAACATGAACAATAACTGAACATGTGCTTGCCATACGTACCTGACCATGTCAATCTTGTAAGTGTCAATCTGACGAGAGAGGAAGAGCTCCCTGTGCTTTATCTGGTGCTTCTGGAGGTCGGTCAACTTGTGATAATTATTAGCACGAGGTATCGTAGCATCCATTTCATTCTCTTCCTCAACGGCCACTGGAGAAGAGACAAAAGAAGATGTACATGTAGGCTACCTTCCCATTATACATGTAGGACCAATGTGACAGACAACACGACGGTAGAGTTTTAAAATAAAAATTTAAGTTTCTTATAATTCTTGTAATATTGGCAAGGAACTATCATTAGTAATTAGTAGATCCATAAAGAAAATTGCCAATAAAAATTTGCCATTTCGTTTGAGTATACTCAAGCACATGGCGAAAATTGGAAAGATTTAACATTACATTTGTCAACAGGTAGATGTACGTTACTCACTTGCATGTCTGTCAGCCGCTAGAAGTAGATGCGACGGAAGGTCTTTGCGTCGGTAGAAACATTTAGCCGCAACCTCAACGCTGCCTTTACTGTTCTATTGATGAATCACGTGACAAACACGTGATAGTCACGTGGTTTATACTTACCTTTCTCAACTCCTCTACTTTGCATATTTGGTACGGAGTGGGAGGCGGGTTGACCTCCATAAAAATACACTCTATGGGGAGGTTAATATCATACGGGCAGAATAAAACCATACCTCCGATACGATAAAGGCCTTCAGCCATTATCAATAGTACTGCTAGATGACAAACCCTCTCATAAAGAAGATTCTAGACGCACCAGAGCAACAATATGGCCCTGGTGGGAGAGGAAAGGCTAAGACGCAGTGGCGGTTTCAAAAGAAGAGAATAATTTTGGTTCGTTTAATTAGAAAAGGAAAGGTCGTTTAATTAAATAACTTAAAGAGTCCGTTCAATTAGAAACTTTAAAATAATTTCTTATGATGTTTAATTAGAAAACTTTTCCTTAGCGTCTGTGACATAGTGGAGGTAGAGAGAGAGGGGAGGCCTGATCATTCTTTGTTTCTGACAGAGAAAGGAAGACACTTAGTGGCACATATTCTATACAGACACTCCCTCCTTTTAGCCTCCTCTCGCTCTCTTCTCTGTTGGTTCCTGGTCTTTCTGGGGCCGAGTTGTGACGCCTATTTTTAAGTAAGTACATCAAGTGATTGATGATAATGATGACATACTTTCTCTCACCTCCTGGTATCCCTATAATTGGTGATTATTTCTTACCTTTCACAGAGAGAGAGAGGCTGATCAATCCTTCGCTATACTCTGTGTAGTAAAAGATTGAGAGGAAGAAGAACTCAGTTTTAAGCGAAGGGGTTACTCCTTCGTTTCATCTTGTCAAAAAACTTGTCAATTAAAACCCTGGCCACTCTTGGTTCGTTTGAGAGAGAAGGAGGGTCGACACCACCCCCAGCCAAGAGACCAAGACTCTCCTCCTCTTCCGATCGCTCGTCTTCCCTCAGACATTTTAACTGTGACTGTCCCGGGACTTCGTCGGGTATGACGGAGCACCGCCCACACTGTATCCATAGCAACGGTGTCAGTAATGGTTACGAGAGTAATGGTATTGTCAATGGCAGCGATGAGGACACGCCCCCAGCCTTGAAGGGGTCTGCACACAAGTGGTGCCACAAAAAGGTCACGAGAATGGAATCTGACGTCATTAATCTGATTGGTCAGCATTTACGAGAGAACGGGTTCAAGTAAGTCCGCGTGTACATGTACGTGTATGCGATTGACCACACCCACTACATTGTTTAATGTAAATTTTGGCTTGTGAACTATTTCCATAGTAATCCTTTCCTTTCCTTTCCCCTATTCACATAAAGTAAAACACTGGATTGCCTTATTGAGGAATCGGGCTGTGAGTTAGAACATCCTCTGGCTGGTACCTTCAGAAAGAACGTGCTCAATGGAGAATGGCCGCAAGTAAGTGTCATAAATGTACATGTGTTGCATGGCCACTTTATGTACTGTACGTATCACTGCTGCCCCACCTTTTCCTTTACGATTATGATTTGGGAGAAAGGCGGTATTATTGTTAGCAAACAATGAGTTGAACAGGGAGCACCTTCTGCTCCTGATAACTAGCTAATGCCTCAATTGTATTGAGCTTGTTTTGATAATAATAATAATGAAAATGTAATATTAAGAATGGGAACGAAACATTAGGAATGAGAATGAAACATTAGGAATGAGAATGAAAATGTAATATCAAGAATGAGATTGAAACATTAGGAATGAGAATAATAATTATGAATATAAAGAATAGAAATTTAAGGATAATAATTTGAAGGGTGCATGTGCACGTAATGAGAATGTAATATTAAGTATGGAGGAGTGATGGAGGTGTATATGGTTTGTGGACATGATCTACTCTTGTAATGTGAAATTTGTTTAATGTTTGTTCTTGTTTTCATTCTAATCCCAGGCCATGTCCACCTTAGATCAACTAGCACCACTTCTAAATAATGATAGAAACATTCAAGTGAGTGCGACTATCTTTTATTGTGTCTTCCTATACTTTACATGTGTACATCTTTTTGTCATCTCTTTCTATGTCTGTTGACTCTTTTCTTTTTGTCATTTTAATCTTTATGTCCCTTCTCTTTACATGTACATGTACACGCATTATTTTAGAAAATGAAGCTCCTCATAAAAGAAGAAGAGTATTTAGAATTATTGGAATCTGGTGAGAGATTATTAGCACTGCAGTGCCTGCGCCACGACCTCACTAACTTACCTCTCTATCATCCGGAGAAAAAAATACAAAATCTTTCTCAGTGAGAAATTAATTATGATGGCATTAATTGTGATAATGATCTCTCTCTCTCTCTCTCTCTCTTTCTTTCTTTCCCTCCCTTTTCTCTAGGTATGTTATGTGTCACAGTAAGGAAGAATTGCTTCGTGTTGCTAACTGGCCAGGAGTGAAAGGAGGAGCAAGAGAGAGACTAATGGATCAATTACAAGGTTACACTGTACACTGTACATAAGCATGTACATGTACATGTGTAGTGCACATGCTTAAAAGAAATGTACATGTACAGTTACATGTACATGACTTGCATTGACTCTAAATGGAATATAATACTTGTACCATTATTATTCATCTCAATTACTCTATCATGTATCGTGCATATGTTAACAATGCAGTATTTGTATCTCATGTTTTACAGTACATATTGTACATACCTTACATCTCTCTCTCTCTCTCTCTCTCTCTCTCTGTATTATTTTCTACTCTCTTCTTTTTAGATTTCCTCCCTGCTGCTGTAATGCTACCATCAAGGCGGTTGTCATATTTATTAAGACAATCGCTACAGTTACAAGTCCAGCAGTGCCCGTTCCATTATGAAGACAACGACTTATCAACTTATTCACTACTGACTGACCACATCTGCTCAAGGTCTCCCTCCCCCCCCCTCTCTCTCTCTCTCTCTCTCTCTCTCCCTCCTTCTCTCTCTCTCCCTCCTTCTCTCTCTCTCTCTCTCTCTCTCTCTCTCTCTCCCTCTCTCCCTCTTTGAAGCATTAGTAGTAGATGTACATGTACACTTGTCATTAATTTGGCAGTTTTTAAATTTTATATACAACATATATACTTTGTGTCTGACTTGGCTATAGTAAATATCCTTTTCTGAGAGTTGGAGCTAAAATTAATAACTATTTCCTACTCCACTATATGTACATGTATAGGACTCATTTTCCCTCTGAGGCAGTCCACACGTTAAAAGAACACTCAGATGAAATATGGTTCTTACAGTTCTCACATGACGGGACACGACTTGCCTCTGGCTGTAAAGATGGACAGATTTTCATATGGGCCATTGAGGTACCAAATGTACATGTACATTTTGTGTAATTTTAATCAGAGAGGGTTTAGTTTAAACATACATGTACATGTACATGTATATGTACATTTAATTCTAATTGGCAAGGGTATTGAGGATTGTTAAAACCCTTTTCTCTTTTTCTTTCTTAGCCTTCAGAGCGTCCAAAAAAGTCTCACTCGATTAAAGCTCAGCCATCAGGTGTCACTGTCCTTCAATGGAGTCCCGACGACTCCCTCTTATTGTGCTGTGGAGCCGAGGACTGCACTGAAGTGATTGTGTATGATACTAGTAATTGGACGGAGAAGTGCCGAGTGTCTAATTCAACTGAGGACAGTCTCACTTGTTGCGCCTGGCATCATTCGGGAAGAAAGTTTTATGTGGGCGGGCTGAGGGGACAATTTTATGAATGTGTGAGTTGTAGCACTTTACCACCTTCTCTCTGTTATTTTTAACTTCAAAGTTTAAAGAATCGCATCTCTCTCTCTCTTTTCTTCCTTTCTTTTTTATACATGTACATGTACATCATATTCAGTCGGCAGAGGATGGTTCCATCACTTCTTCTTGGGAGGGTGTTCGCCTACATGCTATTGCGACTCACCCGTACAACGAGACTGTCTATGGAGCCGATTCACACATGAGAGTGAGGCAGTACAACTTTGAAGACAAGACACACAGCACACTGTAAGCTTTGTGCCACATGTACATGTACATGTATGTTTATATGTACATGTATATTTATATGTATTTGTTGATTATTTTTTAAATTTTTCTATTACTATTATTTTTATTATTAATAGGATTAAGGAGGATCATCCAATAATGTCACTGTCATTATCAAAAGATGCCAGATATGCACTGCTCAATGTTGCCAGCCAAGTTAGTGTCCAGTACATGTACAGTCCATTAGTACCATATACTGTACATGTACAGTATGTGTATTGGCTATTGTATTGTATTGTATTGTATTGTATTGTATTGTATTGTATTGTATTGTATTGTATTGTATTGTATTGTATTGGCATTTTTAAGAGTCTATAACTCGGAAATTATTTGTCAGAAACAGCTTAAACTTTCTACACAGCATAAGTACATTAATATGTATCAAAAAATGTAATAAAAATGGGGGATGATTTTGGAGCCATTTTTTGGAAAAAACCATGGGCTATATTATAGTACAGGGTATTTTTCAGATTTTGGCCAATTTTTTTTAATGGCCATAACTCAAAAATTTGAGCTCGGAATTGACTCAAACTTTCTACACAGCATAAGTACATTAATGTGTATCAAAAAATGTAATAAAAATTGGGGATGATTTTGGAGCCATTTTTTGGAAAAAACCATGGGCTATAGTACAGGGTACTTTTCCAATTTTGGCCAATTTTTTCAAATGGCCATAACTCAAAAATTTGAGCTCGGAATTGGCTCAAACTTTCTACACAGCATAAGTACATCAATATGTATCAGAAAATGTAATAAAAATTGGGGGTAATTTCGGAGCCATTTTTCAGAAAAAACCATGGGCTATAGTACAGGGGTTTTTTCAAAAATTGGCCTATTTTTTTAAATGGCCATAACTCAAAAAATTGAAGTCGGAATCAGTTCAAACTTTCTACAGAGCATAAGGACATCAATATGTATCAGAAAATGTAATAATAAAATTACATGCATAATTCAGTATACGCATGTATATGTATTGTATTTTTCTTCTACAGGGTGTCCATTTGTGGGATCTGAATGACCAGTGTCTCGTGAGAAGGTATCAAGGTGTTACGCAAGGTTTTTATACCATTCATTCTTGTTTCGGTATCAACGATAGTTTTGTTGCTAGTGGCAGCGAAGGTACATGTACATGTATGTAAAGCTGTACATGTACATATCATACATTATCGTTATGCTACTGTACATACATGTATGCTTACATTTTATTCCTCCTCCTCTCTCTCTCTCTCTCTCAGATCATCATGTGTATATATGGAATCAACGTAAAGAGGCTCCAGTAATTGTGTTAAAGACTCACTCTAAAACTGTCAATTGTATTTCATGGAATCCAGTCCATCCATTTATGATAGCATCTGCTAGTGATGACTGTAAACCACACCCAGAACTATTATTATCTACTTGTATTGTATTGTATTATAGGTTCGATAATTTTATGGGGAACTGAAGATGAGATGAAGAAACAGAGAGAAGTGCAAAATATTTTGCACCAAGAGGTGAGTGTGTGTGTTATTATTATAAAAGAATCTTATCCTTTCCTATTGCAGAGTAATGCTAGCTCAGTCCATGTCAATGGTGTCTCTAGTATTGAAAGAGATGAAGAATCTTACGAAGAAGAGGAAGAGGAGGAGGAGGAGGAAGAAGATGAAGATGAAGATGAAGAAGGAATGGACATGAGAGGTAGCTCTAGACCACTATCAGAGTCTGACTTACATGCACTTGAAATGTTAGAGCCAGAGTCTTCCTCTCATGATGACAGCATTGATAGTAATGATCAGTTAGAAGCTGCAGTGTCTCTCTCTGTCCTGTCAGTTGGTATATCTGCAGTGAGAGAGAGGAGCAATAGGGCTCTGCAGCAAAGACATCAAATGGAAGCAGTTCAGTCTAGTGTTTCCTCCAGCATCACTTCCACTTCTTCTTCGTTAACTGCAACTACTTCAGGAGGAGGAGGAGGGAGTGGGTCTATACTTGTAATAATGTCACCTTCACCTGCCCAGCCTCCATCGCCTCCTCCAAGATCATCAGGATCTTCATCATCCATGCATAACCTAAGGGAGTCTGTGAGACTATCAAGCTCAAGTGGGCGGCTTTTGTCTTCTGGTGACCTAGTGCCTATACAAGGCAGTGGAGGTGGGAGACAGCTAGTGGAGGAAGAGGAGGAAGAAGGGCATCAGAGTGGAACCGATCAACCAGTTGAGGTCTCATTTGACTTGGACTCTTCTACAGAGAGTGCTGGGAGCAGAGTGGAAACAGGGAGAGGAGAACCTTCAGTTCAAACTCAAGAAGTGACAAGCTCTACTGTTTCTGTTATAACGAGTGGACCAGCAGCATCTAGAACTAGTGATGGTAGTAGCCCACAACTAGAAGGAGGAGGAGAGCATGGTGAAGTTGTTGTTACTAGCAGTAGTAGTAATGGCAGTAACAGTGCACCTACTACTGAGGCAAGACAGGAAGAGACTGAGACCAACAATGACAGAACAGGAGGTTTGTATAAATAATAGTGAATCCATAATCTTTTTAATTTCCTCTGTACAGGCTCCTCCAGTATCTCTACACCCACATAGTGTATTATCTCATCACATTTTTAACTTTGTCCACCATTTATTCTTGTCTCTCATTCCCTTTCTGTCACCCTTTCTCAGTTCCACCAGGTTTCTCTCTCTCTCTTCTCTCTCTTCCATCCAGTCCTGGTATATTATATTATATTAACATATCATCATTATCGGTAGTTGTTTTTGCATTAATTTTAGTATTACTGTTTATTAGATCTTTACATTTCATTTTTTTCATAATAAGATATAGGCCATTAAAAGAACATCAACACTATTGTTATTATTATTATTATTAATTATCATCAATGAGATTATTGTATCTTTTTAATTTATTATCAAACAGCTTCTTTCTTTCAATTACAAATTGCATGAGAGCAAAATAAAATACATCCACAGTTTGGGGTACTTTTATGGAGTCTAAATCAAATACGTGTACATTGCATGCATCAGGATTATGAATGTGATCCAGACTCTACAAGTTTTGTTTGTATTACAACAAATGTTCGACCTTGTGATTTTGTTTGCAATCAAAATTTAATGTCGTTAAGAAATGAAGGCAGTACTGAGCAGGCTGCACATACAGTCCTAATATTGGAGCCTTAGCTTGAATTATGTGCTTTGTACACTCAAGTAATAAGGGACCTTTGTACTGCTGTATTAAGGGTAATATTATTACCACCATGCAGTATATTCATGCAAATTGTTATTTAATTGTTTATGTGGTTTGTATACTGCTTATAAAGGTATGAGAATGCAAAAAGGAAGAAGTCATGGGCATGATGCATTATTGAATTGAATTAGGAGCTGTAGATTGAATTATGTTATATTGCTTGCATGCATGCATATGTGATGTGCAGCAGGCTCTCACTGCATGGTTGAGATTAAAATCAGTTGCACATTAATATGGCACTAATCTCAATTTCTCAAGTTGTTTTATTTGCCAACACAATCAAACAGCAGTGATGATGCATTAATGAATGTCAATGTGTGTGCTCGTACTATGGAAATTGTTTGAAAACTGTATGGATGCTGATTATATAATGCATAGGCCATATTGGGAATCGACCGACTTTCAGTATTATTAGTAAAATAGAAGACCCAAGTGCCTTGCTTTTATTATTAATTAATTTAAAAAATATTATATTCCCAGACAAACTTGTGTACAGTGACTTTGGAACACCTTGTTTACTTTTTGAGGATGTGCCTCGTACAAAATTAAACTTTTCTCTGAGCATGCGCAAAACACACACCCGCGTAGAGCCCCTCCCCTATCTTAACATTATAAATGAGAGCATCTCAGAGGAGAATCTAAACACCAACGGGAACTGAGCAGAGAAGACAATGTCCAGTATATCTATCAGCAAAACGATAGCAGTATCCCTGCTTTTAATCATGCTAGCCACAGCAGCAGTGAGCCAATTAAAGTGCTATTATGGAGTTGGTCAATATCGCAACTGCACTTGTGGCGTACAATATAGGATCCTAGAAAAGAGATGCTGCAGTTCAGAGGAATGCCAACAACCTGTATTGACAACAGAAAACTTCACCTGTCCCTTTGTCTGTCAGAATGGAGGGACATATGATGCTGAAAGGAAGCTATGTCAATGTCCTGCAAGCCATCATGGACTCTGCTGCGAACAAGGTACCATTACATGATGCTGTGCAATAGCTTCAGCATAGCATGTCTCCTCATTTAAGTACTATTAGTTGTACTGACTTTCTTCATTGATCAAACAATCTAATTTAGCCAAAACATGTGCATTATGCACCCACACACTGAGTTACCCCCTGTCCCTTTATGCATAGCCTGGGCTACCCTTCAATTTCCAACTTGATTATGATAAACCTTATATCGTTTTTAGAAACTCCTCAATGCGGTGAAGTTTTTCTAACACACAAAGGAGACATTTTCAGTCTCAATTATCCAAACAATTATCCAAACAATGCAAACTGCATATGGAAGATATCCACAGATCCAGAGAGAAGGATAGTCATTGGGCCAGAGTCCTTCAGCGTAGAGCCTGGCAACAACATTTATAGTTGTAATTATGACTACCTCCAACTGTGGGATGGTACAAGCGAGAGCAAGCACAGTCTTGGGGTCTTCTGTGGTGGAAGCAAATCATACCATAAAACCTTCCAGACACTCTACAGCACAGGATCAAATCTCTTTATCCAGTTCAGATCAGATTTCATTGTCTCAAAGAGAGGTTTTCACTTGAAGTACTCGGTTTTCTATGCAGGTGAGAAAGAAGGCAACAAACTTGATTGCGCTAAGGCATTTACATAAATAATAATTGCATTACTGACTCAAAACAATCTCAGATCATTACATTGCTATGCAGTACACAAGCGTGATCTGCTAACAGAAGGGCTGAATGGGAGTGCATTGTAGCCTTTTAACCAAGAGCACAATTAGCAACGCTTGGCAACAATCCCCCATTAGACATTACATGCATACATGCATAGACATCAATAAACATCAGTACATGTATTCATGCTCTTTTTATGTTTGCAGGACAAGAGTGTGGGCCTTACTCCATATACACACTATCAAGGGGGACAATAACATCTCCACATTATCCAATCAAGTACAGACCCAATGAGAACTGTCAATGGACTATACAAGTCATGCCTAAGCACGATGTTTATCTCACATTTCAAAACATAGATATCATTTCTACTGGAAACTGTCGGTACGGTGACTATCTGCTAGTAACTGGGAAGACTTCGGATAAAAAGGTGAAGCATATAGCTGCTTTCTGCGGCAAGGTACCACCCAGACTGTTTAAAATACCAGCAGAGAGCAAAGGACTGGAAGAGATTACATTGATCTTTAAGACTGATCAGATATATGAAGGACGTGGTTTCGTTCTAAACTATCGACAGATATTATCCAATGGCTCATCAGGCGATGAGTCTGGAATCATGGCAGAAGACAATTAAACATTACTTTATTATCTCTCTATATCATATTATTTTGTCTTAAATATTCTTTGATACATGCACTATTATATCAGTTGGTATAACTGTCATTTTTGTTTGAAATTATTTTTTTCAGAAATATATAAATAAGTCAAATTGTATTAACGTTATAAAATCATCCAAAAATGTTATACAACTTGTAAATAATAAAGCAATACTCCTGCAAAAATAGAATACCATATACATTAATTAGTTAGCATAATGCATGCTTGAGTAAAGCGTGTCAAGGCATGAACCAAAAATTTAATATTAAAAAATAATTATTAGAAGATGACGACAAAGTTTACTCTTTAGACAAACTCAAGGCATGAGAGAGTTCAAAGTGAAGTTCAAAGAGCAGATACATTACAATCAAATAAATATATTTGTTCTGTCCAAGTATGACTCATAATTGAGAGTGTTGTTTGGTGTACTCCCATACAACAATGGCTCCACTAACATGAACATTGAGTGACCTAATGACTCCAAACTGTGGTATCTCTACACATTCATCTAGTGAATGTATTAACTCCACAGGTATACCTTCACGTTCATTACTACAAAGGAAATTAAAAGAAACAGAGATGCAGATATAGAATGACAGGTGCATAGAAAGACTGCTGAAGCTGAGATTACAATAATACATTATTAGTTAATACTGAGGATTCAGCCTTTATCTATGGGCTGTTATAATGGTTCCAGCCTTACTTTTATGCCCATAAAACCCTGAATTACCGTATAGGACATAATGTTCGCGGGAGGCAAATTTCGCGAAATCTACTAAAATTCCAATTCATGGATTTTAATTTCGCGAATTCTACCACGTGTGCCATGCGGATACCGTATTAAATTGATATTCGCGGATTTTATTTTTGCGAATTTTCTTTATCCACGAAATCAGCGAAATTTGCGTCCCACGAACATTATGCCCTATACGGTATAAACTTTTTGGTAACTGCCTAGCTTTTTACTCAATATCACATTAAAGATTAAAGGAATGCAAAGGCTACATCTCCTGCCAAAGACAAGTCTCTGAGATTTGTCGTTAGATACAACAGAAGCCGCTCTAATCTTATAAAATCGATATAATTTACTCTGAAAATATTATAACTGATTGGTTGCATGGTAACCATCGTCTAAATGATATAACTCCGGCTATAACTGATAGAGTTAAGCCATTACCCAACACTGGACAGTCTCACTATAGCCAACACAACACTAATGGGAGCGAAACAAATGATCATATTAGCAAGTTAGTTCCACAAGTAAAGACTATCATGTTTATATAGCTAGACTTAACAATATCTTTAGAGAGAACTGAATAGATTTAAAGCCAATTCTACCACAGTGTATGCTAGATCATAAATTTAAAGAAAGGAAATGAGGACAACCAAACATGAACAAATTTCCTGACCTAAAATGCAAAGATCTCGTTTAGATAATGTACTTATTGTACCTAAAACACACACGAAAAGTGTGACAACACACACGGAGGTTGGGAAGGTCGAACTAAAATATTATAATTCCTTTCTCTTCTTATGCAATAAGAGCATTATGTCGGGAGGGTCGAAAATAATATAATTCCTTCTTCTTCTTATGCAATAAAGAGTATTGTACGTCGGGAGAGTCGAACTTGTAAAATAAATATTATAATTCCTTTTTCTTCTTATGCAATAAAGGGTATCATGTAGTGTCTCCTTACCCCAACAACAAGACTGTCTTCACTGGAATCTGGTAATTATTTATTTGTTTGCTGTGAGCTGTTTGCTCGACACCAACTAATGTATAACCTTTCCTTCTCATGCTCAGCAAGTAGGTGGACAGCTCTGATGGCTTTACCTTGAAAAATTTGTTACTATAATCAGAATGATCTGTATCATGATACTTGTGATATCTTTAGCCATTTCTCTGCAGTCACACTCAGTGATTTAAACTCTTTCTCTTCCAGCACAGCAGTGCTTCCCAACACTAGCTCAGCAACACCAAATATCTCACAAGTTCTACAGAGACCTAAAATGCCAATAAATGACGATAAATTATCATTTATGATGTTTACAATAACAAAGGCAGTACATGCATAGAGATTGAAACAGGCTGCATATCACCATTTTTGTTTTGCTGCTAATAATTTGATGAGAGAAGGTTGTTGATAAGCACATTACAAACAAATTGGAACCAAACCATGCATAATGAATAAACAATCGATACACAACTTTGCATAAAAACATAACAACAAACACAGTAATGACAAAAACACAAACATAACTTCAATACATCACTCAACTCGCATAAAGGAAAAACAGGCCAGAGTTCCCATTGCTCTAGCAATTATTGGGCTCCATAAAAAGCAAGTAGACACAGGATCTACATAATAATTGCATTTACACCAACAAAATCTTGAAAACATCAAAACCAGCCAAGCCAAAACACTAGCAATAACTGCATGGACTGACTGACCTGTCAAATAATAATTTGTTTTCTAACTCTAGTAAACAACTCCCACAATAATCATAAGCATTACATCCACTGGCTAATTAAGACGTAACAGCTTAGATCATCATCTCAGTAGAAACACTCCCAAAACTTCATCCTTACATAGAACAATTAAAAGTCGATGGATTCTATACCAGACACATTTTGTAATATTGTTAGCTCAGTAGGAGTGCTGCATAACCTCGTATGCATAGACTCAGCATTATAATGTTAGCCGAACTAGCATCCAGGACAAATAATTATTTTTTATGCAATAAAGTGCATCCACATAACTCAATGAGGATTGATAAATTAACAGCAACAGACTAATATTTGCCCACGTAAGAGAAGCGAGGGCCTAATCATACGTATCCATTTAAGCACAGTACTACCAGCAGATACACTTTATGCACAGCACATGCTTGATAAAGTTATGCTTGAATGCGTTCAATAATGTCACCAAAGCCAAGAAGTCTTGCAATAATGCCTTGTACATGAATCATTCAAAATCACACAAGAAATAACGAGGATAATTTAGTCCTTGGCTTTGCTGAATGCGAAAAAAGTATCAAACATTAAATGTTTTTTTTTAATTTTGATTTAAATTTTAAGGCAAAAATAATCATTACCGCTCATAATGAACAAATTCTAATTTAAACTGTCGTTATTGCTAATAATGACAAGGGCTGAGTCTGCAAGCACAGTAAACAGATAGAGACTTGTTATGACGGCTCAGAGTGAGAGAGTGTCTACAATTAAATCATTCCATCAACGTAAGAGAGAGAGAAGCCAGACAAGTAACAAACCTCACAGGAATTGTTACACAGTCGCTTAATTTGTTGGCGTAAATAGGAAAGCATTCGGGAGACACGACACAAGCAGATCACATAGCAATCATATTACCAATTACGCCAGTTTACTGGCCACTCTCAGAGTAGGCAACAGTGTTGGGCCACAAAAAATAATCGCAAGTCATAACATCATCATATTTCACTGCCAGCCATAGGAATGAGTGCATTGAAGTATGCAAGCAAAGTACAGTAGCCATAGAAGATACTGAGGCAAAGGCTGAACTATGCTTAGCATAAACATACACTATACTAGGAGGAATGACTGCTGCACCTCCTGGTAGCAATTCCTGACTTGGTAGCCATCCCATCCTTATAGTATAAACAGTGGCCTCATAACCAATACATGTATGTACTGCCACGGGGTATATGAATCAGATTTGTCTACGCAATAATTATTACACAATGCAATATCAATATTGCGCATGTTTGTATAACTGTGGTCTCTTAATCGAATAAAAAGGTGCGTCAGTATAGTAATGATATCAATTTAATTATAATGATTAGTTAAACTTGACATGTCCTTGCATCCTTATTATATTGGCAGTAACTAACTATTACTAGTATTTTGTGTAGATGATTAATTCATCATAACTTACCTCCAAGATTAGGCTGCTTGTTAATCAAAGAAGCAACTAATACTAATCCATTGTCCTTCTTCTTCTTCTCGTCCTGCACTGAAGGCAGTAGAGAAGGTGGAACTGATGAAGATGGAAAGAGTTCACTGTAGAGAGTGACAGTTGAGCTATTCCATGGTGTAATCTTACGCTGTATGTCACTGCCAGAATCCTCATCCTATCATAATAATAACAACATTGTAGAGACTGCAATAATAATCCATTGCAATAGTATTTGTCTGTAATAATGATTGTACAACGCACCCTAAGTAAAGTGTATAATTCATCAAAAATGACTAGGAGAGAATCGTCCATTTTAATAATTTTTTCTGATACATATACGTGTTCTTATGCTGTGCAGCAAGTTTGAGCTGATTCTGATCAAAATTGGATTTTTTACGAATTTTTAAAGTTATTCAAAAATCAGGCAAAAGTCCCTGTACTATAGTACAGGGATTTTGGCCAAATTTCGCCAAAAATGACTAGGAGAGAATTCTCCACTTTTATAATATATTCTCATACATATACATGTTCTTATGCTGTGTAACAAGTTTGAGCTGATTCCGATCAAAATTGGATTTTTTATGAATTTTTAAAAGTTATTGCCAAAGACCATGTACTATGCGTGTCTGGTGCACTACATGAAGACATAACTTACTTTTTGTTGTGTGTTGGGTCTATCAATGATCTCACAGTCTTCATCAATGGAAGAATGACCAAGAAGGCTTGCTGCTGCATCAATAATGGCAGCATTAGTACAAGTAGTGGGAAAGGGAGGGTTGAGCTGAGACCAAATACAAGAGGAAGAGACAAATAGCTTAAAAGGTATCAATTCTTCCTCCATCACACTAGTTAGTGCAGGTAGGGTATGGAATATGACCTGATTTATAAAGAGAGTCATAAGTTCATGAACAACTAGTATATTGAAATCCTTTACTTGTAAATTAAAGTCATTTTGTGGATGCATTAGCGAGAAAAACACATTACTCTCTAGCTTCCTAGACTTGCCAGTATCGCTATAATGATATTAATGAAGAAGTGAAGCATGTATAAAGTATAAAGTATAAATGTATAAAGTATAAATGTAGACATTAACCTGTACTGTTTGATGAAAGGAATGAATTGATGAATGAAAGAGAGTGAAGGGATATCAGGAAGAAGCGACAATGACTGTTCATAAAGTTGAATGACAGAGCCTGCAGCGTATAGCCTGACAATGAAATGATGGCACAAAGACCATTGGAACACTATCGGAAGGACCAAAGAATAATACTCAACCTGCAACGAGGGAGGGAGGGAGGGAGGGAGAGGTGAGCATGCATTAAAGGAGTAAAGAAAAATATACACTAACTTTCTCAGCAGTTGATGTCAAACACTTCCCAAGTTGTACGGTGATTGTAAATATCGAACAAAATCTGCTCAATCTTCTACCAGTGTTCTGCATAAAGACATTCAATCAAGAAATCCATTTGGTAATACATCGTATCATTAGACCATAAAATTTTCTAATCAAAAATCATACCATCTGTAGATGAGGGAGGAGTAATTCCTTCCAAGAAAAAGGAAACTGGGACATTAGCATAACAACCAACCACTCCATAGCATATCGGACCGAGAGCTGATTATCAATCTCCAGACAATCCAACATTTCCATGATAACACTCTTAACCACTGCCTATTCATTAATGAAGAGTTTCTTACTGAGTGTTTTACATCCAAATTTACTTTATTGATTGACTTGTACAGTACTAGTAAAGTTTGTACTAGTCTTAGCCTGTACCGGTGAGAGTATGAGTTTATATAATAATGAGGCTTTGAAATGCTCAGCTCTTTTAACTGAAAACAAATAATGAGAATATTAGAGATATAATAATCATTAAAATTGTAAGTTAATTTACTTCATTAACGATATTCCTAATAACAATTGATACAATGCTTGGCGTATTAGCAGTTGAATATGACGATACTTCTAAAAGCATATTCATTACTCTAACTCTAACCATCATATCACTTTCAGCCTCCCTGCAATCAATAAAGAATAATACCATACAGCATTATACTGACCTCAATTTCAAACTGTTAGTAGAGCAAGATTCACCTAGTGACATTACAAATTGATTGACATCAAGGATAACTCTAATGACACAAGAGGGACTTTCATCTCAATGATACATGTAAGTGCTAACCTTAGGTTCTTCTTAAAGATTGGCCCAAAGCCACACATGTACGTAATGATCTGAGCCCTCTCCGCCAGCCTAGCATTGATATTGGTAGAATCAATATCAGTGGAATCAATATCAGTAAAATCAATATCATTTGAATCAATATCAGTCTGATTGGTATCAGTGTTAGCAACAGTATTGATGGTTTTAAAAACAGTGCAGAGATGCTCAGCCAATACGTTGCACACGCCTGTCTTTACTTCTGATACAGCAAATATCTCATTGGCATACTAAAGAAAGGAAACAATCACAATGATCTATTATAACAACTACCAAAAATCATCCTTGGCCATTAAATTTACATGTATATTAGGAAATAAATCACAACATGGTCAAATAATTCAATGCACATGTAGATGTAGCTACTATATGTATTAGTTATATAGTCTTGACCTTTATTTGCAGCTGTATAAGGTCAGGATCTGATGCTTCCATGAGCCTCTGATGATACGTAAACTGAACAAAGGCTCTCAATGACTTCAACAAAGGGAACAAGTGCTCCTTCAACTCTAGAACAAGAGGCCATGCCATCTCAATGATTGGAAGTAGATAAGCCACACCTACTGTATCAACAATCTAAACAATACTAATTGAAAGACCGAGTAAATAAAATCGGCAAACTTGTGGGACAAGTGTTGCTAGACAGCCAAGAGGCCATGCCATGTCGCTACCCAAAACATCAAAATGTTCGGTGCAAGATTTCGCAATTAGTTCAACGTCACGTGATCCAATAGTCACATGATCCGTTAGTGGTAACTGGGTCTTCATGGTATCGTGACACTTGAAGAGTGTGACATTGTGGAGTATGGACCAATAAGAGGAGAGACAGGAGGCAATACAGCGACCGTATTCTTGACCTGGGGCATGCTGGACTGGTCTAATTAATGTAATAGTAACTGGGAGATTATATAGCTTTCCTATTTTAGAAAATAAAGAATTGCTTAAAGCATACATGTATGACAAATATAATAATAATAACAATTGTATAATTAGCTCACTAATTCAAAATCAAAAAGAATATTACAGACTCACTTATCATTGCGTGATACTGTTCAGTGGGCATTAGTGAAGGATTCTCATTCCCATGATTACAAACCCATTCCAGTACAGAAACTGCTCCTAATAGAGGAACTGTAAACTCTATCACCTATTTATAATGGGGACATTATAAAACAATAGCGCTGAAATCCTAGAAAATTTGACATGCACATATACTTGTACATACATCTACATGTATGTACTATGCACGTGTTGTAAATGTACTAGTGGTAAAAAGATATAACTGCATTTCTTTACCTGATTCTTCTCAACTATATCCAGCAACACATGAACTGCTTTATCAGTGAATCCAGTGCAAGACAGACCCCTCCCATTATTGTCACTGGTCCAGCTGCACATACCAATAAATTTGTAAAGGCAGCGACTGGCAGTAGAGAATAACTGGACGAGATCTAAGAGAGAAGCAATAGGACCTGATGAGGAAATGTGGAGTCCGGCAAGTAAAACGTCCTGAAAGTAAGAGAGAATCTCTGGCAGCCATGGCAATAGAGCCTTATAGACAAGCCTGGAGGCTCCTTCTTTGACTAAATGGGAAAAATAAGTAGATACATGTAATTATAGACTTGGCTAAATTTTTGAGTAACTTTAAAAAAATTCGTAAAAAATTAAATTTCAATCGGAATCAGCTCAAACTTGATACACAACATAAGAACATGTATACGCATCAGAAAAAAAAAATAAAATGAAGAATTCTTTTTTGCCATTTTTGATGAAATGACAATGATGGACTTCATTCCAGTATAACTTACCATTCATGTTAAATGTGGACTGTCCAGTTATTATATTGTCAAGTAGAGTCGATAATAATTTAACCGAAGACATTACAACCTCCACTGGCATGTACACTCTTGTTCTTGCACTGGATATTGCTTCAAGGGAAGGAGAGAGGAGATCAGTCAGAACGTCATCAGGACCAGAATTTTCAGCAACTAAGAGCCTGCGAGAGTATAAAGATAAAAAAGGAACACTACGTGTACTTCCACTCTTTGCTAACTTATTATCACAAGTCACGTGACCATCAGCTGACAATAAAACTGCTCTAGCAACACTCCCCGGACTAAGCCAAGTTGAGAGACTATACTGGGTCTGAGTACTAGTGGAATCTTTGACAAGGGACCCTATACAGGTTTTTAAAAACACATACAAAGACCCTGAATTATCCTGGCCTCTTGCTATCCTTGATATTAGCTTGGAAGCCTACATCAAACAATATACATGTATTATACATGTATTATATTCCAATTCCCATAATCCCATTCCCATACCATGGCCCAAGACTGAGACCCATACAAGAGACACTCGGTACTACTGAAGCAGCCCAGTGTCTGAAATACATCTGAAAAACTAAATTCCTAAAAAAAATAACTAAAAATATCATCATCATAATAATATACAAGACATGTACTTGACTGCAATATTTGCAGAAAGCGGCCAGTATGAAAGATTGTGTGGCGGATCTCTGTACTATCCTGTGGATCAATGAAGTATTGACTACCAGAGACCTAAAAATACGTAACTCATGAATCCAACCATTGCATTCTCCTGATCCAACTCGGCTAACCTTATTGTCTCTATAGAGGAGGTGCCTATCAATGGAGCCTTAAATGAAGGAGGAAGGAGCGTGAGAGAGTACATGACATACACTGTTGGTATATCGGGCAATTCTTTCGATAAACAACAAGAGAGGAAGAAAGAAAAGAAATTGTCTAAAAAGGTAAAATAATATGAGAGTATAGTCTTGTTGTACATATAATTGGTCTTACATTTCTCTTCTTCTCCTAATTTGGAGATAAATCTGCTCAAAAATGAACCCAATTCTTCAACCAGTGGAGGGCACACAGCAGCAGCATTAGAATGACTTTCCCTATTAAACACAAAACAAACACACATACTCATACTGTCATTCATCCACTGACCTTGCAAATACATAACTGTTCCCAAAAGCAGTTAGCAATGGATCCAGTATTACCTAATAGTGTAAATTAATTTTATTTCAAGTATATTATTATATTATTGAAAATTCTACAACTTTAGAAGTACATGTACAACAAATGCTTGCTTACTTTCCAGTTTTCCTTCAAGAGAAATGGAGAATTGCTTAGTTCGATTCCTAATAATTCCCTGACTCCTCTCCTAACAATGGACTTTGCATCATGAGAGAGGACCCTCTTAAAGACTGTCATTAGCCACGAGACGTGAAGCATGTGAAGACCTACAGTACAGCTGCCACATGACCGGATACACTGTACAAACAATCATCCTTACCATCAACAAGTGTCCTAGTGGCTGAGACAAGACTTGGTAGCCGATTCAATACCGGATTGACTATATGGACCTGAAAAGGAGAGGAGATATATATGTACATGCATGTGAAGAGCTGTCACTATATATACATGTACATACTCATACTTGTTTCTCTTCTAGCGTTTCCAGTAATAGCATCAAGTTGCTCCAAATTTCCCTCAACTCTTTCTCTTTGTCCCCGTTCCACCAGAACACGCCTCCTTCACTAGTTACTCCTCTCTCTTTTCCAACAGATTCTTCTAGAACGGCGTCCATTAAAAACTGACATCTCTTCCTATTCAAAGGATCTTCATCAACTAGTCCAGATTGAATGATGTCCCAAAATATCTTATAGTGTCTTACGTCATGAACCAGAACCGGTGGGGATCTAATATTTGGAGTCAAGGGGGCCCTCCCAGGTATAAAAACATGAACGAGGCAACACAAAAGTGTCAAGCATAGGTCTATGGAGCGACTCTCAACATTCGTTTCACGTAGCCACACCTTTTCGACAAACTGCCACGCCTCTTTAGTAGTAGCGTCACTCAGTAACAGACAAGGTAACACGAGACTTGATAAAAGGAATGATTGATTGGTGGGTGTGGCCACAAGTAGCAAGAGAACACGAGTCAGTAAATCCTGTTTTAGGTGAGATGATGCACACGCCTCTTTCTCCATTAATAAATAATTAATTATCATTAGAACATGCGTCTTTGACATGGTGGAAAGGTCTTCGTTGGTGTAGAGGTCAAAAAGGGCATTAAATAGAGTCTTATGCTGAACATCGCTCTGAGACGAGAGTAAGGAGAGATACTCGCACAAAGCCAAATCCAAGTCACGTGATTGCTCGGTGTTGATCACGTGATTTAGGTAAGGCAGGCCTGAACCCAGTAGAGAGGTTGTAGAGATTGATTCTCTCTCCTTGATCGGAACTGATAATAGAGAGTCCTTAAGATCAACCAGACACTGTAGAGTGTCACCATCTTCTCTTTCTCCTCCCAGTACCTTCAAACATCGCTCCTCTAGTTTGAGAAATACACTGGAATGAGTTTCGTTATTCACTGATGACATCCTTCCTTACCACGTGGAAGGGCATGGACAAAGTAGGCGTGGTCAAGTGGGCGTTCGTTATTCTTGGGCGTGGCTTGGAAGCTGAATAAAAAATGGTGAGTAAAGCTTTATTGTTTTGTCCTTGATTTATCCTTGCATGACGGGTTCTAGTTTATGTTAAGAGAGTATAAGTAAGTAAATTTGGTAGCCTATCCTGGGAATATATGAATACTCAAAAGAGGGAGGGAGAGTTCATTATTATTATGAATGTTTTTTTTCTATTTTGTAGGCTCAAAATCTTGAAGTTTGTTCAATTTCCCCGGAACTTTTTGAACGTGTTAAGAAATTCCGATTCCGCAAAGAAAAGACGTCTGCCGCCATTATTATGAAGATAGACGTTGAGTCTATGACTATTATTGAGGATGATACAGTTGATGAAGATACGGTATATACATATAAATGCATTAATTACAACAGATAGGGGGGAAAAGTTTTAACTTACAAAGGCAAATGTTGTATCATTTTTGATAAATTGTCATCTTTTATGAAATACCATAGTACACCCGATTTTCAAGCAACTTTAAAAATTCATAAAAAATCCAATTTTGATTGGAATCAGCTCAAACTTGCTAAACAACATAAGTACATGTATATGTATCAGGAAAAGTTGACACACACTAACTCACAGCATGTAATTATACTGCACTGATTCATTACTCCACTCTACACTTGTAATGTTAATCTTTTCAACCTTTCCTACTTATATTAAGTTTTTTTTTAATTTTAAGATGAATGATTTGAAAATTGAAGACTTGGAGGCAGAACTGCCAACACACGAGCCGAGATATGTTGCCCTAAGCTACTGTTACCATCACGACGATGGGAGGGTATCCTATCCTCTCGTCTTTATATTTGTTAGTCCACAAGGTAAGGAAGATGAGAGAAGGAGAAAGGAAAAGAGTTAGGGGTAATTGAAGTTGACATTGTGTGAACAATCCTGTTACTAGGTATTAAACCAGAGTTGCAAATGATGTATGCCGGCTCTAAACTGACTCTTGTCAATAAATGTGGATTCACTAAAGTGAGCATTCTATTCTGAGTATGTATAAATGGATGCTCTGGTGTGTATAGGTTTATGAATTAAGGGGAACTGATGAACTTACTGAAGAATGGTTACTCTCAAAACTGAAGAAGTGATGACGCATGAATGTAGAAGTGAAGCTTCTTTGAAAACGTGTGATTATTCTTATTATTAATATTCTTATTAATATTCTTATTATTGTCCTTTTACTGTATAATAAACTAATGATGATTTTTGTAGTATGATTTTTTTAGCTTTTCAATGATGATTTTGGAAATAACAGTATTATTGATACATGTATACAAAATTACATGTACACGTATGCAACTACATGTGCTTGTAATGTATTACTCAAAAGCCGGCTTTGAAGCTGCAATGATAATTATTTTAATATTAAACCATCATTTCAATAAAATTTTTGAAAACTATAATTTCACTTCGGTACCATTTCATCATTCACATGTACACAAAAAGTGTCCCCATTTTATGTCAGAGCAACAACCAAAGCCACCATCATGCTAAAGAGAGACAATATGTACATCACATAAATAAGAATGACATTTTTCTTACTTGTAAAGGTAGATGAGAAAAGAAAGGACATAGTATCCAAGCTTGATGAATCCTTCTCTGTTATAAAAGATTAGGTTGTCCCTGTTCATGACGATTGTTGGATCGTAGAGACCATACCCACTAGCACTGGGACGCTTAACAAACCTAAAAAATAAGAATATGATCATACACGTAATATTCCCTATCGGAACTAATTTCTATAAGTAATTTCTATATTATTGTACAAGTAATGATACATTGCATTAAATAGTCTTGGGAAAATATTAGTATTTTCTTTATACCTCCATATATGGTAAGCGAGTAGAGGGACGTTCCACATAAATGTGAACCAGTATCCAAACATGAGTAAGAGTAACACGATGAATAAATGTAATCCATATTCAGGAAACACCAACTATTAATGTCATTGCAATAACAAGCATAATATACATGCTGTCATAGTATACCATGTTTTGATTAGAAGCAAAGTCTACAGGATTACGATAGTCATTCTTTAGTTCATCTACCATTATCAACTATTGTTAGATAGAGAATCAATACATAAAAGGTGACAAAATCATAATAAAGGATGGAAAATATTTTTTAAATATGGATTTCTACTCACATGCCAAACCATCATAAAGAGGAGGCCTATGGATACGAGCATAACGAGAAGAAAAACGTAGAAATCAGCACCAAACATGATGAAAATGTGAAAAAATGGAGACAGCTATAAGCCCCGCCTTTTAAGAATACGGAGATAGACACCAATGAAGTATCCGTGAGTGTACGGAAACCACGTGCTATGTCAAAGGAAGGTGTGGCTGGGGTCTATCTTTCAGAATCTCTACTGAAATGCACATTTATGGACTAACAGGTGGTATTGCAAGCGGGAAATCGACAGTATCAAGACAACTGGAGCGACTGGGTTGTCCTATAATAGATGCTGATCTGATCTCAAGACAAGGTACATGAAATATACTGTTTATATAATAAAGATTAGCCTGGGGCCCTTGCCCTCCTCTTAATTATTCCAGTTGTAGAACCCGACACTGCTGCCTGGAGAGCAATCATAGGAACGTTTGGTGTTCAGGTGCTTAATGATGACCGGACGATCAATCGCCCGTTGCTTGGTTCAATGATATTCTCAGATGATGAGAAAAGACACACTTTGAATGCCATCACCCACCCATACATACAATACAGAATGTTGTGGCTGCTACTCAAATATTTTATTCTAGGTAGCTGTAATCTCTTGCGTATTCCACTTATATAATAAGCGACAACAGTAGAGCTTTAAAATTGACTAGCATATCCAACAACTTTCTCTTCTTTTTTTAGGTAAATCTTTCGTTGTTCTTGTAACTCCACTTCTATTTGAGAGCAGTCGTTTTCTCAAATTCATGAAAATGGTCATTGTTGTCAATTGGTAAGCTAATCTTAAAGCAAGATCTATACAAAAGTGTTCAAGTTAATATTGAATGCAGTACAGAAGAGCAGCAGTTGGAAAGATTAATGTCCAGAGATGGTCTAACTGAAGAAGAAGCAATGAAGAGAATATCTTCTCAGATGCCGCTTAGCACAAAGTGCAGGAGAGCTCAGTTTGTTATAGATAATACTGGAGAGAGGGGGCAAGCTGAACAGCAGGCGCTTCACTTGTTTAATAATATGAAAAGGATGTCCTTATTTTGTGGCCTGTACAAATGGATATGCGCCGCTTTAGTGTTAACATTAGTTATTTTCTATGCTGTTTATTTCTAATCATTAATGAAATTATTTGAATCGAAACAAAATAATTATTTTTTGCGTCTTTCATTCGTGCTCTAAAAATAAAACATTCTATTATTGCAGAACCATCTTTCTCATTTGGTTTGACTATGTCAGTAGATAAAGGATAACGCTGTAGAGAAAAGAGTATAATGGTAACTGATGCTTGAAATATCAAATGCTACAGCTTACTAGTATAACGAGGCAAAGAAAATAATTAGATGATACCCGATCTTGACAAACGATTCTTTCTGAAAATTTATTAGTTGATTGCCATTTCTAATGACAGTGGCATCATAAAGGCCAATGAATGAACTTCGAAGATTAAAATATCTATTAAAAAACAGAGTCCAATCTGACATCACTTAACTATAATTAGTAATCGAAATACATTACATTACATACATGTGAACTACACAAAGCTATACAGGATTTGCTTGGTGACAATACAATGAATAGACTATGGTGTGTGACATGACATTACTAGTCAATTAAGAGCACATGTAGACTATTGTAGATTAATGTATATTAATGTACATCAATACATGTAAGCATCTCAAAAATAGAGAAAGAAGAGGAATGAGAGAATTAAGGTTTACCTATAGCAGAGATATATTGCCAAAGGGCTGGATAGTATACTGAGAAGCCAGTGGCCACTGAGCATTAGAATCAGTGGAATGAATGCATTTAACATTAGCTCTGGCTTCACAGACTAGAGAAGAATATTTATTAAAAAAATGATACAGTGTTAATTCACAGAAATTTGGATTCATACCTTATTTAACTTATCACAGCCATGTCTAGCTGCCACAAAATCAAACTGGATATCTGACAATACAATAATCTAGGAAAGTATAAAAATTTTAATAATTATATATAAAATGGGACTATCACCATACATGATATATAGCCAGTACAATGGCTATCAAACTGTCTAGAAGGCACAAGGTGAAGACAAAGGTATCATACATTCGTCTGTGAACCTTCAAGTGAAGTTGCAGCTCTAGCTAAATAGCTCAAGAGAGCTGTCTCCTCCTATCAAGTCAAAACATAGCGGGTTAAAAATTCTGTTGCCAAGACAACGCCACAAATTTGCATTTTGTGTAAAAAATATTTGTGATCATCATCATGGAGGAGTTTACATCTTCAAGGAGCAGCTCTCCTCCTCTTTCTTTACTCTTGCATCAACCTACTACAGAATATAGTACAAAAAAGAAAGATTTGTATCTTGGACCAATTGAACAAGGAACAGCCCACTCTGGACCAATGAGTGAGAAGGTGGTACAGCATAAGATGCTCTCGATACTTGAACAGCTTCAACAGAATCAAGAAACACTGAGAGAGTCTGTGTACGCACTGCTGGGAAGAACCGGGTCTTCTGGTATCCCAACCCCTAGTACAATGGATGATTGTACATGTGGACTATGTGGATATCAGCCATCGCAATATAAAGACTTACAAAACTCTACAAACACTAAGCTACAAGCAAATACATGTACATGCACAGGTACTGGTATATGCACATGCACATGTATTATGGGACCTTTGGATTCAACGATGGATGAAGCAGAGGAAATTGAAGACTTTTCTGTTAGTGATCTTACATATTCGTCTGATGTTGATCTGATTGAGAATATGTGGGACGATTTTAATATAACCGACTACGTACCCAGCCCTCGTTACAAGAAGATAAAAAGGAATTCACCGTTGCCTTCCTCAAGGAAAGATTTCAGTCCAACTCGAGTTACGGTACCTGTCCCTTTCTCGATGACATTGAGAGAAGAGAGAAAAGAAAAAAAGAAGAGCAGGAGCCTACAGATGGCAGAGAAGGAAAAGGAGGAGAGAGAGGCAGAGGAAGAGGCACATTTGGCCAAACAATTCAAAGCTAATCCTGTACCAGCCACAACTTTCCTACCGTTATACGAAATGATCAACGCATGCAACCAAGAGAGGAGAGAGCAGATTAAGGAAACATCAAAGGAAACTCTAAAAAGATTAGAGAAACCGTTTAGTTTTATGGCCCGTGAAGAAGCAAAAAAGAAGGAGAGAGAGTCACAAATATTGCTATTGAAAGAGACAGCTGAGAGAGAAAAGAAGGAGAAGCAATGCTTTCAAGCTGGGGAGATCCCAGAATATGTATTTGATCCAAATATCATGGAGAGGATAGAGGAGGAGGAAGAATACAGGAAGATAAGAATACGCCAGAGGGCACTAGAGAGTCTTGCTGAGTCTCATTTACCAGCTGGAATGAGAATAAGAGGACAAGAGTACAATCTTGAAAGACTCTTGAGGAGAATAGCCAAAGATGAAAAGGTTCTTGAAAAGAAGAAACAACCTTCTGCTAATGAAAATAAATATGCCTATAATGATTTTGAGCAAGAACTGATGAGGAGGCAAAGGCAAGTAAAGACATTAACATTACCAATTGAGGAGCTTCAAGGAAAACCTTTGCCAATAATAAGACACTCAACTCCTACCAAATCTGTAACTTTCCATTGATAGTATCTATCTATATGCATGGTTTTTCTTTTCTTTGTGTAAATAGAGTATAAAATAGATCTATCATCAAAAATTATTCTCTGTACTAATGTGCCATGAAGATGACCATTTTAAAACAATCTCAAAATTCTGAAAAGTACCTTTTTTCCGAAAAATGGCTCCGAAATCACCCCAATCATTATTTACATTTTTGATACATATTGATGTCCTAATGCTATGTAGCAAGTTTGAGCTGATTCCGACTTCAATTTTTCAAGTTATGGCCATTTAAAGAAATGGGCCAATTTCTGAAAAGTACCCTGTACTAATGGTTTTTTCCAAAAAATGGCTCCGAAATCACCCCAAATTTTTATTACATTTTCAGATACATATTGATGTAGTTATGCTGTGTAGAAAGTTTGAGCTGATTCCGACTTCAATTTTTCAAGTTACGGCCATTTAAAGAAATGAGCCATTTTCTGAAAATTACCCTGTACTATAGCCCATGGTTTTTTCCAAAAAAATGGCTCCAAAATCACCCCAAACTTTTATTACATTTTTTGATACGTATTGACGTCCTAATGCTATGTAGCAAGTTTGAGCTGATTCCGACTTCAATTTTTCAAGTTACGGCCATTTAAAGAAATGGGCCAATTTCTGAAAAGTACCCTGTACATTAGAGCTGATTCTGACATAGACTTTTCAAGTTATGGTCATTATCGCAAATTTTTTTCATAAACTAAATGTCTTTGGATTTTTTAAACAATAGATAATGATATTTGATTTCAAGCATTTAATTAAGTTTCATTGTTGCTGTTGTTTTAATCGATTTTTTGACAATCTCTCGTTGCGCTTTTTTATCTTGTTCATCCTTTTCTCACCTTTTCCTCCGCCCCCACACGTCACCTCTAGGTTAATGCTCCGCCCAGAAAGATTTGACTTATGAAACTTTAAAGCATTCTAAAAAACAAAAACTTAAAAACGAAATCATTATCAAAATTTTTCTTCATACCTGTTGATGCTTGACACTATTAAATTCAAGAAAACCACACCCACGAGATTTCGCTGACCCTCTCTCTGTCAGCAATCGTACCTATAAACTGGACAATCAGAACACGATTTTAAAACTGGTCAAACCTGTTGAATGGGTACTCCTCTCTTTCGAAAGTGATGCATAATATCATCAGATGATACCGAATATGGTAAATTTCCTATCGTAGTAATCCCACAACAAAAATATAATTAATTATGCATCATGCCACACCCCCTTTCTTGTACATGTACAAACCAAATGAAGCACTCCCTATAGGCATTGCTAATTAAATGTACCTATAAATAGAATATATCTACTTCTTTTTTTATCTACAGTGTCTTCTTCGGCCTCTTCTCCTACTATCTCCTCTTCTTCTGTTGGTTGCTTCGTTTTACTCTTAGTCTCTTTGCTTCTTTTCTTCATCTGTTTCAGCCACCAACTGAGTAAAGCCTGAGACACACTGAAATATACAATAAACTCACTCTTTTCTTTTCTTCTCCCTCTGAGTCTCGCTCATGTTTAAATGGCGGATACTAATTAGAGAATAAGATAAACCACGTTGTAGCACGTGGTTAAAGTATACGGAAATATCCTGACGTGAGTTTAGCTCTACCCAGCCCCACCCTTCCTGCAGGCTCAGCTCAGTAAAAGAGGTTATACAGCAGATATAAAATAACATCGACTGAGTGAGGTTACCTTTATTCGTTTCTGGAGTGAGGTTACCTTCATTCTTCTCTGCAGCATGTCTATTTCGTCTTCTCTTGATCTCCTTAAACTGAAGGAACAAATCACCTGTCCCTTATGCCACAGTATTTACACAGACCCAAAGACACTATCATGTCTCCACTCCTTTTGCCAGTCTTGTCTGGAGGGAGTACCGCCTGATAAAGAAGAGAACGAGACCTCTTACCTCTCCTGCCCTACTTGTCATGACAAGACAGAACTACCACGAGGTGGAGTGGAAGGCTTTCACAAAGCATTCCATCTCAACAACCTCAAAGAGATGCACAGCCTCATGGCAAAAACCGTCACTTGCAACAATTGCAATGAAGTCACTGCAGTTGTCTATTGCAAAGAGTGCAGCAAGTTTTTCTGTGAAGAATGCATGCATGTCCATAAGAAATGGAGTTTCTTTTCCAGCCATCAAATATCAAGCCTCGATGAGGTGTCAGCCTCAGCTTCTGTTGTTGTCCAGGAGCAAGCGAGCCACATTGAAAGAATTCTCACTGACCTCACGCAAAGAGAGAAAGAGATTAAGAAGCAAGGAGAAGCAGTCCAGGAAGACATTCATTTGTTTGTACAAGAAGTGATGAATACGGTTGAGAAAGAGCTGACAAAGGAAGTTGATGCAATAGTTGAGAGCAAATTGCAGGTAATAGCTAAGCAGAAAAGGATTTTTAAAAGCAAAGTAGAAGAGAGCCTGAGCTTACAGCATGTCTTTATGTCAGAGGATGAGCGCATGAGTGAGATGACAAGAGGAATCAATGTGGAGGAATTTGACCCATTAGAAAAAGCAGATTTAGAATTTATCAAGGGGGATCCAAGCATAGTCGTACACCAAGTGGGTGAGATTGTCTCTTACACAGCATTGCAGCAATGCAGGGTCAAGGAAATAAATCAAGTGAATCATTTTCCAGAGAAGAAGATGATTTCATTTCCATTATCAATGGAGGTCCCTGATTCAAGTCTCCTAACGGTTCCCATATCATCTCTTAGCTGTAGTCTAGTACCAGTTGGTAAAGATGTAGCTCCCATTGAAACTACAGTGAGTACTACTTCATATCCTGGAGTGTATCAGATACAATGCAGCCCTTTTACTAGTGGTCATCATTACGTTGAGGTTAAAGTTCACGATGTCCAACTGGAAGGTACTTCTTTGGTGGTCCCTTTCAATCCGTATTTCGATATAATCATTCCAGCCCGTATCATCACTGGCATAAAATATCCCTGGGGAGTTGCTGTGAGTGAAAAAGGTCAAGTTATTTTAACAGAATGCTGGAATCATCGCGTTACCATATTGGATGGGAGAGGAAAGAAAATGAAGACATTTGGAGGAGAAGGAGGTAGTGGGGATGTCACGTTTTGTTCTCCTCGTGATGTGGCCATTACTCGAGACAATAGCTCTATTCTAGTTATTGACGATGATCACAGAATACAAAAGATAAGCATGGACGGAAAGCTCTTAGCATCAGTTGGTGGATTGGGCAAAGGTCCTCTAAAATTCAATTGCCCTGTTGGCATGGTCATATCTCCAACAGATGGGAGGGTGTACATAGCTGATCACAATAATCATCGCATTCAAGTCCTCACTCCTGATTTGGCCTTTTCTCATTCGTTTGGCAGTAAAGGATCGAGAGATGGAGAATTTGAGAATCCGCATGACATTGCTATTGATCGCACCAACTCAGTGTATGTCGCTGACTATGGGAATCATCGCATTCAAAAATTTTCTCCCGAGGGTGAATTTTTAATTGGATTTGGTAGTAAGGGGTGCAGTCCAGGAGAGCTCTTTGATCCAGTAGGAATTACAGTAGACACCAATAGTGGTTTGGTCTATGTCACTGAGTATGGGAACCATCGTGTGTCAGCTTTCACTCCTGAGGGTCAGTTTGTGACTAGTTTTGGAGATGAAGGTGTCAATGAGGGTCAGTTTAGGAACCCAAGGGGGCTATCATTTGATAGTGAAGGATTCTTGTACATTTGTGATCTAATGAACAACAGATTGATTGTGTATTAAACTCAAATTTTTTTTATTCTAATTTTTAATGAATTTGTGTATAATAGCTTTGTTTAAACCTCACTGCAAGTGCAATTCACACTATTAGAGGTGAAAGCAATCTCATCATTTTGTCATGTCAGTAAATAAATTATTATTATTATAACAGTAATATTATCATTATTATTACATTATTATTAGAATGACTGTTAATTATAAATGATCAATGTCACTGATAGAGCAAGTACATTATTACAACAAAAATAATAAAAGAGTGTCAAAATTTTAAAATAATAGATCGATCGTCACTAAATTCCGTAACTATCTTTATATGAGTTTCGACTCTTTTCTTGATTGTATCCTATACAAATCAGATATGCAACAGTAATTATGGAAGACATAAAAGACATCAAGAAGCACTCCTACTACTGGTACAATTATGCCCACACATACAAGTGAAAGAATGTGCCCCACCTGCTTAATGCTTATCAAATACAAAATTCTTTACATTAATCCAACAAAACTTGCAATATCAAGACAAAACTATTAAATAAAAAAAGCTTTATTTTCGTTCTGTTTTACAAGCATGCATGACTCATGCTTAAAGTGTTACACTACTACATGATGCATGTTAAAAACAAATGTTCATGTGCTCCTTACATGACAGCTTTGGATCCAATCATCCATCCATCCCAATCCTGCAATATGCTCAGATTAACCGGCTCCTTCTCTTCCGAACTGTTCAAAAAATCCGTCAGTTCCTTGAGGGTATCGTGATGCGACTTGTCGCCAAATTTCTCGTAGATCGGTTTCCGTAGCTTATAATACTGCTCGGTCTCTCCAGGTATGGGCCCGTGAATGACATACTGGTCCGTCTGTCCTCCCTCTCTTCCTCCTTCCTTCCCTCCTCCTCCTCTTTCAATAGGACTAGCAAGTGTCACCAATTCAGAGTTACTCAGTTTCGATGAAAGAGAAGACGAGGGAAAGGTCTCATTCATTGTTTGGTCTCCATGCTCAACAGACACTTTGTTTATTTGACCATGACTCCACGAACGCTTCCTGTCCTGAGGGCTGGCCCTTTCCTCTCTGCTATTCCTTGAGTCAGACCTCACTGGTTGATCTTCCTTTGTATCCTTACCAACTGCCTTAGGCTCGTTAGAGTGAAGCTTTGTCTCCTCTTTAATCACGGGAGAGCTACAGCGCCACGACTCACCCAAAACCCCCGACACGCTTTGAGTAGTCTCCGGCCCAATGATGCTCCTTTTCTTCGATCGTTTCTCTTTGAGTTTCTTAAAAATCCCGCCTTTCTTGCCGCCGTTCTCAGCTTTACTGGGTCCTGATGTGGGTGGGCTAGGGGGAGGGGCAATGTGGGAAGGCTCGTGATCGGACCCGCCGAGATTTGTTATCTTTTCGAGAGCTCCTTTCATTTCAGACTCTTCTTTTAGCTCTCGATAGAGAAACACCAACTAAAGAGAGGGAGAGAGAAAAAGAGGGTGAGAAAGGAAGTAAAAAAGAGGGAGACCAGTATCATGATACACAAGACAATCCAATTATGGATAATGAAATAGTATCAATTACAATATAGGGACAACGCCTATCATGTTAATTGCATACCATAATAAAGTGTAAAGTATAGAAAAATGTCAAATAAACACTATGAGATATAATTCCCAGGACCTTTCACATTAAAAGTATGCAAATGAGTCATAATGACTATTTTTGTTCAAGAGTTAAGTAGACATCAAACCATTAGCTTGTTGTCACACAAACAAAGCTTTGAGTTGATTCATATTTCCCGACAGATCTTATATCATCAGAAGAAAACAGAGGACATAAAAAGACATGTACCAATCAAAAGAACTTAATCTAATGAAGAGGCTAATCCTATTACCAAATTGCTCATTTTCTCCTCCCACACTGACACTTTATACTGACACAAAGGGCAACAGGAATACATGCTGGACTGTGTATATCATCAATTACATGTTGTCATGCTGCTAAGACAACTGTTGTTACTTGGACAGACATTACTTCATGAGAGACACAGGTATAAAATAATAATAGTCTGCATCATTATATGGTGGAATTCACACACTACTAACTATTGTAGCATAAAATTCATTAGCACTCAATACGTGATGCTAATGAGCCATGCACAGTCTAAATTCTATCACATTTAAATATTAGTTACTGGTTCATCAGCAACTCCTCACCTTTTGTAGTGATTCAATAGCTTTTGTGGCATTTGCCAGTGTCTCGTATATCTTTGCCATACTTGTCAGTGCTGATATCTGTCCCTGGGTGTTACCGGCATTCTTCATTGCTTGGTAGTGCTTTTATAAAAAGAATTAAAATAGTAAAGTGCACAAATTTAATTTTCATGATGAGATGTGGAGAAGGCTTGTAAAGGCAGCCAGAGGGAGAGGATTGGCATGCAGGAGAAAGGGAGTGAGAAGGAGGAGGAGGAGGAGGAGGATTGTAGTAACAGAAAGCACATTATATAATAATACCTAATAATACCTAATAATAATAATAAAGATCATAGCTAATAGAGCATACAGTCTAATAGGGGACAGTGCACATTGTTTTAACGTGAACAGTAGTGGGGCATGGATCAACTACTAAACAATACTTGGCAACAGGCCAGACCACCACAAGACTTGACAATACCTTTTCATATTGATCAGCTGTCTCTTCGACATTTCCCATCATCTCGTAAGTGGAACCCATATTACAGTGACACACTCCCATACCAACATGATCTTCAAGCTCAGAGGCAACACTTAAACCCTATTAATAATACATAAATAAATATATATATATATATAAAACCATTCATTTTTAATGTAGTATGTTATTACATAAGGAGAATGGTATAGGCAGATTATATTAAGAAATTTGATAGGACAAGTCAGCATAGTCGAGATTGCAACACAACAATGACACTGTGTCATAGGACAGGAATTAATTTGTCGAGCAAATGTACTAATAATTGATATTAATCTTTATCTGTCAGGTGACTAGACTTGTACATGATAAAATGCAAATATATCATTTACTAGCAGGAGTCCATGACACAATGTTTACTAAACGGTCCCAGTAAGCCACACAGGAACTGTAAGCCACACAGGGAGTCTCTACCTTAAATGGAGTATTAGCTAAGGAAGCAGACAAATTGTCTGTCACTAACAGCTGGCAATACAAGACACAGAAGGTCCATTCTCATAATTACAAAAGAGATCTAACTAATATCATTATTATCTTTCCCATGCTCTGGCATTGATAGAATTATGACATTACAATCAACTACTAGACTAGCTGACATTTCCTACTAACCCTCTTATAGCATTCCATTGCCTTGTCTGGTTGCAAAATAGCCTTGAGACAATTGCCAATACTGCAGTACGATCGACCAATATTTGCCTTATCGCTTATCTCCATAGCAATATCCAATCTCTGCATGTAAAGAATACGAGTATCAGTTTGTCATTTGATATTATTGAAGGTGTGAGTATAGTATACATAATGCATGAGAGAATCCATGTAGTTTTCATTACTTAATGACTACAACATGTTGTGTGTGTGTGTGTTTGTGTGTGTGTGTGTGTACCTTTTGATGATGATCAATAGCTTTGTCAGTGTCCTGGAGCAGTTCATAAATGACCCCAAGGTTACCGTGTGCACGACACTCTGAAGCTCTGTGGAAGATAACAATATAATAACAATAATAATAATATATAATAATAATTTAGAATTATGGTAATGCATTAGTGTAGCTATACAGGACTCTCTACTAGAGCAGTGGTTATCAGGTTGTAGCATAGTTGCAATGACAAGTACTTAAAAGCTAGCGGTTATGTAAGCATGTATCATTTGATCTTCTCCCCCTCTCTCTATTTTTTTTATTATCAAAATAATTCAATAAACTATTCTTTAAGTTAATTGGAATTGCTCCTTTGATCATATTTACTGGGACAATTAATTTCGAGGCAAAGGAATGCAAAGATCAAGAGGAGCTCAGAATTCTTTGTGGCTATCATACCTCTGCACAATTAACCACAAAAGAAAACCAAATCACCTTAATAAAAATACAATAAGAATTTTTAACATCCTAACCACTGCATGTGTCAATGATAATATTTATGTTCAAGGTTGAGTAATTTGAATAAGGAATTCATTATGAGCAATTGAACTTTCTGTGACATACTTTGACCCATGATCTTGTATATACTCCAGGTGCTTCTCAAAGTACATGGCTCCCATCGTCAGGTGGTCTCTTCCTTCCGGTGAGTTCTCTAATCCTCCGTCTTTCTGGATCTTGAGTCTTCCCAGAGTCATGTGAAGGTCCCCGAGGTTATGGTTTGCCTTTGAAATGGAGCGTCTGTCTTCTAGTATCTCACAGAGCTCAAGGTAGCTCTCATAGCAAAGCTTAGCTTTTTGCAGATAACCTATTGTAACAATGATGATGATAATAATAATAATAGTAACATGGTGTTTACTGTTTACATTGTATTATCAACACAGATATCATTATTGGATGCTGTAGTATTAGCCTATAACATGCACTTAGAGTCCTGTTACACTATAATAGAACAGTCTCTCTTTCTTACCTGATTTTCTATGAGCTATCCCAAGGTTGCAGTAGGCCTGAGCTTTGCTCTTGTCGTCATTAGTCTCACAGCAAATGGCCAAGTCGTGAGAGTGGCAGGTTATAGCTGCATCCATGTCCCCTTGATAAAAGTGTGCATTGCCCAGGAGGCTCCAAAGAACACTGGTGAGCTGGAAGTCTTCGGGACTAGACTCTAGCGCTGCCTCGAGGACCGGGATGGCCTCTCCATAGTCCCCAGCCTTGCTCAACTCCTCTCCCTCCATTGCTAGCTCGTGGCAGGACTTACCAGGAGCTGGTGGCTCAGAGTCTACGCTCAATACCTCGGCCATTGGGTCTTCTCCTTCCTCGGTGAGTAAGTAGCTAGTGCTTGTCCTAGAGGAGAGGTGCTGGTGATGATGATGATGATGATGATGCGACATGATTTGCTCTTCCATTCTACAGCTTGTTGCTTTCCCAAGAGAATTTTTGGACTAATTAGGTAAGAATTGTTGTACAATATTTATATATTTTCTAGGACCGGATTGGCTATTAACAACCGCTCTGCTGTTCTTCTGATCTGTGTCTCCCCTCCCAACAACTTCCTTGTTCTCACTTCTACACGTGTAAACATTTCCTCAAATTCCTGTAGAAAACTTGATGTTTCCTTAGCTGCCAATGGACGACATATATGGTAGAGAGTTGTCTTTCAGCAAAGAATCCTTCCTCACAGAGACTGGCCATCGTGTTTGCCGGATAAAAGTGTCCAGAAACAACAATGGTGGAACTTCTAGCCTGTGGGCGGGGTTTGTACTTATAGCTGGTTTGCTGTGCATCTGTAGAATGTCTTGTTTTGTGGTGAACACTTCACAATATATTACTGTAAGCATGGAATATTATTATGTCTACTCTATTAACGTAAAAAAATCAGCTTTAAAAAACTGACTCTGACGAACTGATGATGATAGCTACCCACCCAATGCACTACAGTACAGGGGCTTTGGCTCGATCTTTAAGTAACTTTAAAAATTCATAATAAATTCAATTTTGATTGGAGTTAGCTCAAACTTGCTACACAACATAAAAACATGCATATGCATCAGAAAATGGAATAAAATGGAGAATTTTTTTCTAGTCATTTTTGGTGAAATTTGGTCAAACAGGGACTTTGGCCCAATTTTTAATTAGCTTTTAAAACTTTGTAATTTTTACCATTACTAGTACTGTAATTATGGTAATGATTTTTTGCTTTGTGGTAGGTTCCCATTAGTGTTGAGTTATCAGCATATCTGATAATAGTAGGACTGATACTGTTATCCAATAATACTGGCTCACCTCCTAAAGGTAATCTTATATTGATTATTATTTGCCAGTAGAGCTGGTTTGAATTGTTCTATAGATACTCTTCTAGTCATGGAAAGGATTGGTATTCAAATAACTCATGAGTCAGGATGGCTTTGGTCAAGACCAAGTTCTCTCTTTCTTTCCCTTCGTTCAATACACAATGTCATAATGGTGGAAACATTCTTCAGGGTAAAATGATGTAAATAATAACAACTATAATTGATGTATCCTTGGCAGCACAAGGTTATCTTCTACCTGGCAATATTGATAAAACCCGATGATCATTGTGAGCTCAAAAATACAAAAATGATACCCATTTTTACAGTAAGGACAATCATTAATCACATGAATATCTGTTTATACAAATAGGATTTATTGCCTAGACACAGATTACTTGTTGATGTGTATCAGGAGATAATGTCATTATTAGATTTTGGTGAGTAAATTAAGCTTCTCTCCAAAACTGTCAATAAAATAATATCATCATCATCAATCTCTTTGCAATCATTTTAAAAAATAACAAATTATTAAAAACTGTATAACTGAATAATAATTAATAATAATAATAATAATAATAATAATAATAATAATAATAATAATAATCTAGCTATCATTCACACTCATATGCCTAGACATCGAAATCAGATGGATTAATCGTATCAAGTTCAACTTTAAGGATATCAATTTGTTTCACAAGGTCCTTGCAGTGCCTACGTAGTGCCCCTCCATTGCTACGTGCTAGTGAGAGCCTAATGGTTCCCTCTACCAGTTCAGTCCTCCATTTGTTACACTGCTGGAGTATCTCTTCCTTGCGATAATAAAAGTGCTTCAAGATGATCTATGCAAATTAATAAATATATTAAATTTCTCGTTAAGCAAATAAAAAAGTAGAAAAAATAAAAGTGCTTCAAGATGATCTACATGTGTGTGCATACAATAAAAATAAAATTTGTTTTCAAGCAAACAAAAAAGTAGAAATTTAATACTAAAATTAATAATAATAAACAAATAAATAAATAATTTGAGCTCTTATAGTGTGCACAGTGCCTACCTGCTTAAAGCAAGGTGATGGCTGTCTCAAGTTATCAATCATGGCCCATTGAATCGTGGCCACAAAGATATCAGCATTATAAATAAGTGACTTGGAGTCGCCATAAGGTGTCCCTCTATGCTGCTCATAGCCTGGCTCATTGAAGAAAGGCTCAGGGACCAGTATCAGTGACTGGATGGAGACTAGAACCTAGAAAATAATTATGTGAGGATTTACAACTATTTCAAGTCTATTATCAAGTAAGGAATAATGAAGCATTGATTGAGTGCTAATTAGCATTAGTATTTGAGCTAAGATTAACATGCAGATCCCAACTGTGGCTCAATGACTTACTTGCAGAAAGCTTGATGTGGTTGGATTCCACTTCTCCTCTGGCCTACCGTGCCATGTATTAAGAACGCTCAGACAAACCTTGAGAGAAACACAAAATAAAAGATGAACAAGGGAGTACAGCAAGTCTTATTTGCTCTACAGAAACTGTATATATTCATAGTTATAAGCATCAGTGTAAAAATGAATTAGTGTATAATGTTAGTACTTGCACATTACCTTTCCATCATTGTACAGGTTAGGATTAAATCTAACAGAGCCTTGACCAGTCGTGCACAAATTAATGGACATAGGGACAGAGGGATACTCTGGAGGAAAGTAAACATCAAATAAAAAGCATCCATTAGCATAAGGTGTGTCCGATGGACCTGTAATAAGGACCTGTGACAAATGAAGAGAGAGAGAGAGAAAGCAAAAGGACATTGTGAAGAGAGAAAAAGAGTCAAAAATAAATGCAACACAAATATACGGGAACAGTTACCTTCATTACATCTAGCCTCTCTTCATCACAACAGAGGAAGACAGTGGAGGATAGTGATAGAGGTAATGATGTACTGAGGGATGCTACCTCTTGAGCAAGCCGCCTTGCTCTGGAGGGAGCAATGTTTGACATATTGTTGAGTATCTGATTAGAGTAATGATAAGGGACAGCGAATATTAACTTGGACTCGTCATTTGGATCATATTCTGTTATCTGATAGGTATCTAAAATAACAATAATAAAAATAATAATAATAAATAATAATAATAATACTAATACTAATAATTTAAATTGACCATGTTATTAGCTATGCATGTAGTAAACTGCTTACCAAACTGTAATGGTCTCATTGCTTCGATATAGTCTTCATTTTTACTATCTGCTGAGTCCACTCTCTTTATTTCTTTCTCCTCTTCTTCTCTATCGCTGGCAATAGACTCAATCTCTTTGCTACATTTCACTATCAGGGAAATGATTTCGGGTAGTTCGACCTGCCCCTTCTTATCAAGTCGAGGAGGAATGGGAGGAGGAGAAGCAGGAGGAGGAGGAGGAGGGAAAGGAGAAGTTGAAGAGGAAAAAGAAATAGAAGCAAGTGAAGGAGAAGAGGAAGAATGAGGAGTAGGAACAGAAGGAGGGAGAGAGGGGGAGGTAGAGGAGGGAGGATGAGAATGAGTAGGGAGAGGAGGAAGGAGAGGGAGAGGAGGATGGAGAGGAGAGACAAGCACTGGTTTAGGAGGAGGATGTGGCAGTGAGGCTTTTGAGGTTGATGGAGGAGGATTGCTGTCAGAAACAAGTGGATCTACACACAAACATATGATAATAAATATTAATAATAATAATAATAATAATATAGGTACATGTAATTAATTTTTTACCATTAGCATTTGTCGTAGATGAGGAGTCCTGTTTTCTTGGAGTTCTAACACTTTCAGGACTTTTCTTTGGAATACTAACATTGAGAAAGAGGAGAAAGTTTATGTATTCATTAGTTATAGCTATTATAGGGATTAGGGGTGGAGCATACTTCAATGTCTTGAGATAGGTTTGAGCAATCCCGTTCAATCGCTGAACAAGATTAGCTAAATTCCTCCGGCTCTTAATAGCCCTCGACTTGTCAAACTGATCATCATCATCGTCAGATTGAAGATTTATTTTCAAGAAAAGGAGGTGATGACAGGACTGGTTACGTGCCATTGATAACAACAATAGCAATACTGACTTGTAGACTTGAGTGTGATTAGATATGTCAAGAACTAGAGAAAGGGGAGCATGAAATACAAAAGCAATGGGTTCCTATTCTTTTACTTACTGGAGTCATTGCTCAAGTAATGAGCTAGTGCTGGTATCAGACAAGAGACAGATAAGGTCTTTATGACATCCTCTGTATACAAGTAGATACTTGAAAGGGACTCTGTTTCAATTCCCTCAGACGTCATAAATTCTAGATCTTCATTCGAGTCTTCTGTAATCTCATTTTGAGCCCCTTCACCACCACTACCAAGAGCTGGATCCATGTCATCATTACTAGTCCTGCTACTGGTGATAGTCCCAGTATCTGAAGTAATGCAGATAGGATCATTATTGACTGCATCAGTAGCATCCTTATCACTCCCTTTTTCTTCTGATTCAGAACCTTCTTCACTTTCTTTTTTCTCTTCCTCCTCCATCACTTGATTCTTCTCTTCATTCTCTTCTCTTATATTCAACCATTCTCCTAATATGGCCAGACAAAGCGACGACAATAACTCGTTTGACTGGTTCTCCTGTAGCATTGCACTGATGTCCCAAGCAGAGGAAGTAGAGCCTGTACCAAAACCAGTTCCTTTTGCCCAGTACTCTTTATCTTTTGATGTAACAGTCTTTACATTTCTTAATAAAAATTGATAATTTACAAATCCACACACAACACATATGCAGTAAGTACATGCACATATATATCAAATGGTGATAAAAGTTTGTGAGTGTGTGAGTAATGTATTCTTACTTTGATGATTCTAATTTGTTAGCTGCATCAGTTTTCTCTCTGTTGTTATTGCCACCAGATCTTGGTTTATGCTGGGTTGCTCCAGAAAGGCAGGAGAGTATGTGGTGTATGATTCCAATCCGGTACATCTCAGCTCTTAATCTGAGCCTCTCCGAAGAGGAGGAGGAGGAGCGGACAATGTGAAAGAGATAGAGAAACGGGAGGAATGAGAGAAGATCTAGCAATGATGGCGGTAACTGCTTCTCAACTAAAATAGAGAGAGAGAGGTGAAAGAGAAGCAAGAAGATCAAAAATGAAAAAGGAAATAAATATAATATATTCGATTACTTTCTTCAGTAGCTCCAAGGACTCCTCTCAGCAAATACCACACGTAAGTTCGAAGTTCTGTCCTACCCAATATCTCTCCATACTCCCTTAATCTCATTCCCAGACCAAGAGCAACATAGGAATGAGGCAGGAGGAAGGAGGCTGGACTATAAGAAGGTAATCGGGATACACAAGCATTTACAACTGATTCAAAGGAGGTAGGACAACCCTTCCAGAGTCCAGGGTGAAGGAAAGGGAACAGCTGTGATAAAATAAAGACACCGCCTGACTCAGCAAACACTTTAAGGAAAGACTCAGACTCATTGAAATCAGCGACGAGAGAAGAGGTCTCCGCTCTACTGACTCTCAGAGCTCTAGAGTGTGAGCAACCATACAAAAGAGACGGAGGGACTTGTCTTATTCTAGTGCCTATTGGGTACATCTCTTTGCCTGCCTCGCTCTTAAAGGCGATGCTGACTTTTGAGCTAGTTGCATCAGGCTGAGCTATGACACTGAAATCAAATATATTGATCTGAAAAGGTTTCTTGGTCTGGTTTGATGAGGTTTTTGAGCCCCCGCCCGTCCCTCCCTCTGCTACCCTCTCTCCATTACTGCTGGGTCTCTCTGACCCTAAAGAGAGGAGGGAGAGGAGTCGATTAAGTGTGTACTCTGAAGACAACTTCAGATAATAGTAATTAGTGTTTAATGGGTAGGAGGGATGATAGTGGGGGCAATCATAAGAAGGTGTGATGGAGTCTAACTTGATCCTATCATTAGAGGAAGGAGAGGTTGATGAAAGAGACTGGGGGAGGAGGCACTCATCAATTTCCAATAACAAATGAACAGCCTCCGGTCCTAGTATGTGATCAATGATGAGGGTTCTGATAAACGGTGTGATTTCTAAACTAACAGAGCTACCAAAGTCACCAGAAGCAGTGACTGGCTCTAGTGAATATTTCCCTTGTAGGCAATTGAGTAGTAGATTTATAAACTGCTTCTTACCAAGTACAGAGAATTTCGAACAGACAGAGAGATACTGTTGCATGATGTGCTGCAAGAACTCCATTTCATTGTGTGGTATGAGGTCTGAGGGCTCATTGCAGAGCTTCATTAGTAGAGGGAGGAAACCATCACTGGATGATACCAGTGCCTCTTGAGCTAACTTGTGACCAAAGACTAGATCAGTCAGGAAACCAACCAGTGAGCATATTGATACAAGTGTTGATCTAATACAATCAATACTGATTGATTTAGAGTCAGAATCAATACCGATTGATTCAGTATTAGGATCAACACTGATTGATGATTCAACATCAGGATCAAGAGGTGATTCAGTCTTAAGATTTGAAGCAGGAGTACTAGTCAATCCACTTGTTTTCATCAATACATGCTTGACTGATGAAGTTAACCTGCAAATGATGTCACGGAGTAATTGGCTACTCAACAGCATATTCATGCACTCATCAGACAGTGAAGAATCAGCTAATGTCTGCAGTACACGCCCACTCTCAGACGAGGGAAGTTCCTCTAGGAGAGAGGCAGCAATTGTCATGGCAACAGAGAACCAGGGTGGGTGGAGTCTGCATAATGACATTAGTATGGACGAGAGAGAGAGTTTAAGAGAAGTGCAACACTCCTGGGATATACTGATATTCAATAATGACCTGAAAATTAAAAAAATATTATTTATAAAAATTCTATTAAAAATTTAAGATAATTTTGGAGTCATTCTTTGGAAAAAACCATGGGCTATAGTACAGGGTACTTTTTAGAAATTGGCCCATTTCTTTAAATGGTCGTAACTTGAAAAATTGAAGTCGAAATCAACTCAAACTTTCTACATAGCATAACTACATCAATATGTATCTGAAAATGTAATAAAAAATTGTTGTGATTTCGGAGCCATTTTTTGGAAAAAACCATGGGCTATAGTACAGGGTAATTTTCAGATTTTTGGGATTTTCTTAAAATGGCCGTAACTTGAAAAATTAAAGTCAGAATCAACTCAAACTTTCTACATAGCATAATTACATCAATATGTATCAGAAAATGTAATAAAAAATTGGGGTGATTTCGGAGCCATTTTTTGGAAAAAACCATGGGCTATAGTACAGGGTAATTTTCAGATTTTTGGGATTTTCTTAAAATGGCCGTAACTTGAAAAATTAAAGTCGGAATCAACTCAAACTTTCTACATAGCATAATTACATCAATATGTATCAGAAAATGTAATAAAAAATTGGGGTGATTTCGGAGCCATTTTTTGGAAAAAACCATTGGCTATAGTACAGGGTAATTTTCAGATTTTTTGGATTTTCTTAAAATGGCCATAACTTGAAAAATTGAGCTCAGAATCAGCTCAAACTTTCTACATAGCATAAAGACATCAATATGCATCAGAAAATGTAATAAAAAATTTAGGGTGATTCTGGAGTCATTTTTTAGAAAAAACCGTGGGCTATAGTACATGGTATTTTATAAAAATTGGCTCGTTTCTTTAACTTGAAAAAGTGAAGTTGAAATTAGCTTAAACTCTCTACACAGCAAAAGAACATTAATATGTATCAGAAAAGTAATTGAAAACAAGCGATTTAGATCAAGCTAAAACTTACTTAAATAATTCCTCATTTAGTCCCAAGTCCATCAAATGAGAAGCTGAACCAGCTGGAGTGTTCCAGAGTGTATTAGCAACAGCCCTCAGCATAGCAGGCAGGGATGAAGACACCTGCACACTGGAGTCTGATAACAATTCTGATATCATCTTTAGGACAGACACAACCCTAAAATAAAGCCAATAATACTGGTACATGTACAATGTTATTCACCTTGTCAGTCCAGACTCTCCTTCAGCTTTCAATAGCAATAAGAGAAGATCAATGCCAGACCCATTACCACTGGTGACCTTGGAGACGGTAAAGGGCGTGGCTTCGGGAAACTGGGATTTGAAGAGAAGGAGAGTGAACTGATTACCAAACTCATGATAGGAAGAGGAGACAGAGAGAAGGAGGGACTGGAGATTCTTTAAAGCTAATGAACTAAATATTTAAAAGAAAAAACAATCACTTGCAAATGTACATAAAATTCATGTACATGTACTACCAGGAGTCCACGATGGACTCCTGGTATTTTATATTTTAAAAAATCATCTTAAATTATTTTTCTTAAATTCTGACCTCAGTGACCTGTTGTTCAATAGGGATACACAAACGGGTAAGAACTGATGCATCTCATTATAAACAACTGAATTAATGGAATCACTTGCACCTGGCACTGACTGTATCCATTCATGCAATATATTCAACCAGCCCTCACTGGAGAGAAAGAGAGTAGTCATAAAGACACAGTGCAAATTGCTGAATAATCGTTTTCTACCTTGAGTGAGAAGTGTCTTTATTATTATCAGAAGATGGGATCTTGGTATTCTTCTCTTTCTTATCCTCTCTCTCCTCATCTGCTGAGAACAGGCCAGGAGTGCCAATACTCCCATACACAGTCCCCAGTAGCAGGAGGTTCGAGAGAGAGAGGGAGTCAGTAACTTTTGGGCGACGCAAGTGTAGCCATATTTCATTAGCGATGACAGGAGACGTCAGTTCAATCCTTATACCAGTCAGGCCAGCAGTACCTAGAGGAGGGGATAGTTGTATGGGCTTGCTTAAGCTACTGGGTCTTGAGAATTCGATTTTAACTTGAGAAGGACCACCTGCAAAACAGAGAGACAGTAAGAGAGCTAAGGCAGTAGAATGAGTAGGACGTACTCTGAGAGAGGTTGGCTGGTTGGTAGATGTGTACAGAGTGGAGTAGTACGGGCTGTGTTAGACTGACGTGTAAAGTCAGCCAGTTGGTGTCTTTGGGATAAGTGTATTGGAAAGCGGCTCCCTTTCCGGTCTGATCCTTCAGGTTCACTGACTGGATGTCTTTTAATGAGGGACAGCCATGAGGACTAGCTTTCACAGTTGCTTTAAAAGAAATAATTATTACAAATAAATTAATAAATGATGCAATGTTTAATGAAGTAGATGGGCCTTTACTATTATTCTAATTATAATAAGTCATATTAAAAGCAGACTTACCTTTGGGAAAGAAGTTAATAAGATGGCTTCCTTCCTTGTATGGTTTGGGAGCTTCCAGTAAACCTAGACCAGAGACAGCGTGCTTAAGAGAGTGGTCACTGGGCGTGGCTTTACAAAGCTGAGCTGATAATATGAAACAGTTCAGAACGGCTTTAGCTCCGCCTAAAAATAAAAAACAATAATAATAACAATAATAATTGTATGTATGTAAATAAAGTAACCTTGAGTGATGAATAGTGATAAGTCGCCAGTGTCTTGCCGCTTGTCTTCTTTCTTGACCTCCACTACATTTTTCTCTTTCTCCTTTTCTTCCTTTCCCTTTCTTTTGTGTCCATGATCTTTAGACTTCCTTGCAGTCTCGGGATCCTCGACTTCCCTTTTGTTCAGCTTTACCCCGGGAGGTTTTAGAAACTGGCAGAGTGATTGCATTACTAGTACCTGTGACTCGTTGAAACTGCTAACACCTACCACTCCCCTCCCTCCTCCTCCTCCCTTGATCATGTCTTCCAATATTAGAAGGAACAGCTCTCTAAAACAAGCCAAGGACTGGCAATTGTTTCTCAAGAATTCCACGAAATCTTTTATGAGTCCCAAAAATGAGGAAGCGGAAGTAGAAGACATTGAGTCTGCAGTAAAAGAACCAGTCAGGGAGAGGAGCAAACCTCTCAATTGTTTGCTGTCAGTTAAGATAATGTCCACCAGTGGTGCATCTGGTGTTGCATAAACAGCTTCACTAGTGGAACCAGAAATACGACAGAACTCTGTTATAGTTGATAGATATGGCTTAGCACAAGAGAGCCCTAGCAGCTTCTTTAATAATTTGATAAGATCTTGTAGAACCGACAGCGATGAGGAAGAAACTGCCTGGCTTTGAGATTGAGGAGCATCAAGACTGATCCATTTAGTGTCTTGAGACGACGTGGAGCCAGAGAAATAATACATGTGTCTTCTACTCCTGTCTCCCTCTGACACGGACCCAAAGAGCTTCAGGGGTGGCCTCTGGGAAGGACTGGAGGCCTTCACTAGCTGAGAGAGTATGATATTAATAAAGTCTTTGATGACAGAGAGAGAGGCTAGCACTGTAGTAGCATCATGGTTGGAGACTCCTTCAACTGGTGGAGGAGGAAAGAGGAGATCTAAAGTGGCTGTTTGCTGTAGGCAGTAAATGAGTGCAGAGAGATAGGGAGTTGAAGAAATGTCTGACCTACTCGTAAAGGAAAAGAACAAATAACTTACAGTAAGTGAGAATGACATACAATAAATAATATTAAAAATATAATTTAGAATATTAAAAATACAGCAATGTGTACATGTACACGCACTAACTTGTCCTTCAAGACTTGAACTAAAACTGACAAGAGAAGGTTGATCCCTTTTTCCCCTTTACCCTCTCCTCCTCTCTCTTTCGCTCCTCCTTCTCCTCCTTTCTTGCTAATGAAATTGATTCCAGCTATCCTTGTCAATAATTTAATAAAGACGGCGTCTTGTTTGCTGGAGTAAGACTCCTTCTCTTTGTTCTCCATCATACAGCAGTGGAGGAGAACCTCTTTCAACCTCTCCTTCTCTATATTAACCTTTGCACTGCTCACGTCACTCCCACTCACCAATTGACACGCCTTCAAGTGAGAATGAATAAGCGACAGTGTCATGTGACAAGATTGGAAATCACCCGAAGTCATCATTAGGAGGTGACGAAAAAGATGGGAGAGAGTAGTCGAAGCGAATAAGCCGCAATCCTCGCTTGGTAGTAGTTGAGAGAAGAGTTTCCTTTTGATACTTTTCACTAGCGAGTGACACACGTCATTCCAAAACTTTAAGAATGACGTGGCATCTATTGACGTAAATGAGAATGGGAAACTCTCGGCATAAATGGACTCAAAGGCATCAAACAAGTTCTTTAGGTTGGCAGCACTCTCCGTTGTTTTAGACAAACTTGTCTTTTGTTTCTCTTTCTTATGCTCTGAGCTGCTTCCTGCTTCATCCACACACACACCAACTGACTCAGTGAGAGTTTCAGTAGACCAGCTGGCACTAATAGGCCTGGCTAGTTTTATACTGTCCAGCAATGACTGATAGGAGTCTTTCATCATAACCTGAAGCCCAAGCTCAACTGGAAAGAGTGTGCTAGTTTCAAGCCTAGCATCAACACTATTTGATACTAAATAAGACGAGTATGAGGAGTGAGAAGTAGTTGGGGAGGGTTTCTTTGCTTTGCTGCTGTGCTTTGGCGTTAGGGGAATTGACGACTGTTTCTCTAGCTTCTCTTGCATCGATAGTTTCTTGTGAATCGACTTATGGAGCGAGGACTGAAGGGATGTAGTGGATTTGGAGGATTTAAGAATCTTTTTTGGCGCAGGCGGAGGGGTAGAAGAGGATAGAGGGGGAGGGGGTGGTGGAGGTTTAATAAACTGAGAATCATCACTACTGTCACTGCTGTTCTCTCCTGAGGGAACATCATTATTTATTGCATCTACTGATGATAAATCAAACTGACTCCCACCGTCCTCCTTATTAGTGACTCCACCATCTTCCTTCTTTGTCTCTTTTTGACACTCTTCATCATTAGCTCCACTTTTATCTTCTTCCTTTAATCCACTGCCTTCTTCACTAACAGCATCAAGTATCTTATTCTTGCTGCTGCTGGTGGTGACTATACTGCTGCTATTTAGTGATACTTCAATACAAGAGAGTGATGAATGGATTCTCTCTACACCACTTAAGCTCTCTTTCCTTGACCTCAGGTTCTTTCTATTGACCGCCAGCCTCTTCTCTCTTAGTACCAGTCCAACAACGAGAGTCTGGACTGCATGACACGCCCACTGGAAACTAACGAGTCGTCCATCCTCTCTCTCGTCTCCCTCGTCCTCAATGAGAGAGGGTTTCTGACAGGTGGAGGTGATTAATGTCTTGAGTTGGTGGAAACTGATAGAGAGAGAGCATGACATATGACAGAGCAGAGCTGTCAGTGTCTGTAGAAAGAGCATAATGTGTATGTAATGATGTAGAGAAAAGAGAGACAATAACAGCTATAATGAATGCATAATGAAAAGCATCAGTGAATACATGTACAGTAATAATAATAATAATAATAATAATAATAATAATAATAATAATGGTAATAATTTATGCATAATTATACATTGTAGCCTCACTTTACAAACAATTGGTACTTTATCCCAATCACTGTCCTTACAGTACCTGACCAGAAGGCACACAAGGCCTTCACTACTAGTCTTCAATACAATGTCAGATAACCGTAGATTCATACTCACGCTACCAGAATGGGAATCAGTCTGAGAGGTGGTATTGGGTCCCTTCCCTCCATGATCAGTCTCACGCTGCTGGGCTGCTTTGGCAAACTTGTTCAATGTCTTCTCAATCCTCTTCACCTGAGACCTCAGAGAGTTCAATTTAGCAATAAGGTCAGGATCGGGCACTAATGAAAAGAGGGTCTCTAGTAAATCCTTAGCTTCTTCAAGCCTCGAAATTTTATGGAATATTTCAGCAGCTGTCATATCACTATATGCATCGACAACAGGAGAGGGAGGGATGAGAGGGAGGCTGAAGATATTGCTGTCTTTATTTCTTGTGTCATCAGAAGAAAAGTCATGAGGGAGGAGAGGGAGAGTAGGTACAAAGACATTGCTGTCTTTATTTCTTGCATCGTTAGAAGAGAGGACATGAGATAGCAAGAGCGTCAGCCACTGGACACAATGTGAATCAAACTCTTCAGTTTGTTCTTCATTGTCTTGCGACACGAGAGGTCTTAGAGTATCAGTCAGTAGAGAGAGGAGCTCCTCTAGTACACTAAAGTTTGTAGTCATTGTGCATTGACATAAAGCAGAGAATTGAAGTATAACCCTAAAATAAAAGAAATATAATTATATGGTGATTCTATAAGCACATTACACCATTATAAATATACTAGATATTTAATGAATGCATATAAATTATCATGTACACCTACATGTACATGTACATGTATATGTTGTCGTAATATTAATCGCTCTTACCTTTCCTTGTTAAAAGTCAATGGTTGGTTACTATTGAAAAGCTCGTGAAACAGTTCAGCTAGCAGGTCTCCCCACCATTCCTCAGCACCACAGAGCTTCACTAACAATGCACACATCCTTGAGTGTATAGACTGACCAGTGTTGAGACAGACTGAGAGGAATAATGCTCTACACTCGTCTCTACCCATTCTCATTGCATCTAAAGAGTCACTAATTGATGGGTGGAGCCTGTTGCTAAGGAGGAGCAACGTATTAGTAATACAGCTGGTGAATTTTATTAATTTCTTTAAAGAGACTGAGTTATAGTTGAACAACTCCTTCACCTCTTCTTTCTCTTTGCTTACTATGCTAGGATCAGAATCAGTGATCTGATCAGTAGTACCGCATGTTGAATCAACATTAATTTGATTCTCATTGATTTCTCTAATCTGATTCCTGATCCTATTCAACTTGACTTGAGCCTCAAAGCAGCGCTGGTGAACCAAGAGGAGGTGCTTCTTGAACTGCTTCCGTAGCAAAGGGAGGGAGTTCCCACGATGAAACATCTTCAACAAATCTTTCAGTTCTTTCAATGAATGGAGATACTGTGAGCTTAGCCTAGCTTCCAGACCAGAGAGAAGAGATGGGCTATAGCCTTGAACGGGAAGAAGTGGCTTTCCATAATATTGACCGAGCGATATCACACACCTCTCACTTGAAGTGGTGATGACACTCACAAATGTCAAACGAATGTAGCGGACTAAAGGGGGTGGGGCCAGGTTACCAATGGCAACCATACGAGAGGCGAGTTCTGTTGATTGTACGAGTTTGATTGATTCCGATTCCTCTTGAGAAGGCCAGCCACAAACTGACACGGAGGACAGCAAGTGATTTGATTGTATTGAGAAATCAGTGAGACGAATGATCTCTGAGAAATCAATGACGATGGAATGAGAGGTACCCGGTTTAATATTATCAATGGACACAGATAACTCGTCAGGACTCTCGGGAACACGAGACAATAACTTTGAAAGAGAAGACGAACTAGAAACAGGGTCTGGGGTACGAGAGGTGGGCGGAGTCAAGTTTTGGAGGGCGTGGTCTTGCATTTTATGAGGATAAAGGTAGCCGTAGTGATTTAGTGGCTGGTGAATGTTGAGATATGCTGTTAGCAAAGGATCGAGTTTATTATCATTATTTTTAGTAGAGTCAACGGGAGGTCGTACTATAACACCGGCAGACAATGAGCAGCAAGTATACTTTAATGGCAGTGTCTCTAGTAACCCTCTCTGAAATGAGAGGAGGTACGAACCATCTCTAAAAGGACTAGCAGACTCCTTTTTATCGCCAGAACTGGAGTCCTTCGTTTCGCCGTGTAGCAATAAAAGAAATTCAGGGTTGTATAGTGTAGGGGTTTTGGGGGTTTGGCTGGTGGGCGTGGTTTCTTTAGAGTCAGGAGAATAGTCTGGATTAGATATATAGTCTATGTATTCAGTGTAAGAACCAGTGAAAGGGACAGAAGAGGAGGAGGAGGAGGGAAGGGGTGGACGGGGTAGTAATTTAGAACTAGAGATAGACACGTCAAATAATTCAGAATCAAATATACTGCCATCTTGATTGAAACTATATGAAAGGGGAAAAAGGAGGAATGGTAATACAGTATTTCATTACATTTTCTGATAATGAAATTGTAATTTTTTCTCACTCACTGTGTCTGGAGTAACTGTGTGAATGATGAATCTCGTAAGAGTCTCTCGTGCGACAATCCAACCAGCTGTTCAAGGAGCACAGGACCAATCCGACCAATCAAATGAGGCGGAACATAATGACAGAGCTGCCGTAAAAACCACTGGAGAGAATAGGAGGAGGAGACGAGAGGGAGAGAAGGAGAGAGACTGATGAATGAGTCTGATAAAGATGATAAAAATGAGTCTCTTTGAGAAGTACTAGTATCATCTCCATCACTCCTACAAAAATAACAAGAACATTCTTTTATATCATATAGAGTAAGGCTGAAGATAAACTTTTAAGTTTAGCACATGCATGTACATGTACATGTACATGTACATGTACATGTAAATACATTTAGATGCACCAATGAAGTGATTATGAAAAAAGTTAACACACATTATTAAAAGATTCCTTTGAAATAAATAATACAATAAATGTAAATGAGCACAGGTCTATATCCCTCACTGCATGGAAGTACCTTGAGAGTATTGAGATAAATTGGGCACACTTATGAGCCAGGAGTCTGGACCCAGCAGTAACATAGCAATACTTAAGTATCGGCTCTAACAGCTGTGAACTAAGGACAATGATAGTCTTGAAAAACGACCTGAAAAAAAAGAAAAAGTAATGTTAATAAAATTAATGTAAATATACAGGAGGATCTTGCCTTTCATAATCAACACTAGCAATTGAAGTTATCCAGCATAAGATATCCAATGCATTGAACACAGTCTCATTGGAGACATGCCCCAAAGCTCCACCTTCTCCTGTGTCACGCCCACACACAGTAACGAGTAGTCTTTGAATGGTTTCTTCACTAAACACTAGAGGGAGGAGAGAGGGGAGAGAGGGACGACCCTTATACGGAAATAGAGTGAGACAGAAAACAGTGTGAACGACAGAAACTGGTTTGACGGGTTGTTGGGCCCTGCGTGACAGCCTAGACCTCACTGATCCTCCCCGCCCCACGTACCGCCGAGAAGGATAAGTTTTCTGGTCGCTGGTGACGGCCGACTCGCTGTCGGCCATTTCTTTTGTAAGACTAGAGTAATTAAGAGGAAAGAGATCCTCAAATGACAAGAGTAAAGTTGACTGATGAGAAGATAAGAGGAGAGGGTGGGAGAGAGAGACGGTGAGAGAGAGGTCAGTCACATCAATATACGGCTTTATAAATATTGGGCCACAGAGGGTCAAAAACCGAGTCTGATCTTCAGACCCGGCGGGAGAATTTCGATATTGGTCACACGAGGGGATCCGAAGGACAGAGAGGCTGAGAGTGGCCTGGTCTGAGATACAAGCTGGGGATGCTACGTTGATTTTGATCCTCAACGAACTGATGGACGGAATCTCTTCTGATGAAAACTTGATCTGAAATGTGTGACTATACATGAATGCAAAAAAAGCATTAAAATACTAAAAATTAAAAAAAATAATTAGCAGAAATCTACATACATGTACACTGTGCATGTAGATTTACGAGTATATGTACATGTACATGCAAGTCTAAAAGTATCATTATGTGAATGCAGTACCTGAAGGATTCTCCATTGTCCAGCTCAGGTTGATATTTCCATATTTTAGTGTTGAATAATTCACTGCCATTAACCAAAGAGGACCGCTCCTGTTTCTGTAGCATGTGTCTTGGGTTGTACTGGTAATACCTGACAAAGGAATGAAAATATTTACATTAATTTTAGTTTCATAAACTAATTAACTACGTATGCATGTATGCAGGCCCAAAAATGGCTACAAAAGTTTTATAAAAGCAATTTGACATCTTTATGCTGCATGTACAATGTACACATGTATGTAGAAATTTTGATAAATTTTTTTGAGTTATGAGGATTAAAAAAAGAAGATAAATGCTATGTTGAATGTGTGCTCTTACTGAAGTGGATGAAGTTCAGTCCAGCAGTTGTGAGAGAAACCAATAAATGGGAGTCCATTAGACTCAGTAGTGAATGCTAAATCCTTTAATAAACCTAGATCCTCATCAGTAAGCATAGGACCAGTGCCTGAAAAGGAAAAAATAATAAAAAATCAACTTTAAAAATTCATAAAAAAGCCAAATTTAATCAGAATGAGCTCAAACTTTCTATGCAATATAAGTACATGTATATGCATAAAAATTAATTATAAAAATAGACAATTCTCTCTATTCCAATTTTGGCAAAATTTGGCCAAAATCCCTGTACTATAGTACAGGAACTTTGGCTTGATTTTGGAGCAACTTTAAAAATTTGTAAAAAAATCTAATTTTGATCGGAATCAACTCAAACTTTCTACACAGTACACAACATAAATACATGTACATGTACATGTACATGATATGATGGACTCACTTAATCTTTCAATGGTACCTTCCTCTCTGTCCTTAACAATAGTCTCAATGCCAATATAAGAGACTGACCCATCAGGACTAGTAATGGCTAGTTTATCCAGTCCTTTACAGTACACACAGCCAGTCACTGGCCCATCAGTGTATACCATAACCTCCTTCAGTCCTTCCTTCACATTAAATACCTTTAGGGCTCCACACAGACTGACTGTAGCTAGTAACGACTCGTTGATTCCTGATCTGAATCCTGATAGCGATACAATGACGTCATCTCTCGAATCAAACGTGATCTTCTTAACGCAATGATCAATTTTAAAACTCGTACTTCCATTATCTGACTCAAAAAGACGATAGAGTAACAACGAGCCATGGTTACCAGTGGCAACAGGCTCCGCCTCTTCTCGGGTATTTCCCGGAGACAGTACTACTGCTATTAAGTCATCATATGGTAGCGGAATGATGCTAGTAATGATGGGTGTAGCTTTGCTGGTAGGTGTGGTTTCGTTAGTACTCAAGACTGAAGAACTATCAGTGGATGTAGTACAACAACTGCCTAACAAGAACACATCACAAAGACAAAAGGATTCTCCTTTCTTTCCTTCTCCGTCTCCATTAAGCATCTCAGACAAGTAAAGCTTACTGCCCTCAAAAGAAGAGGCCACCAAAGGATCATCCCCAAGCTCCTCCATTATCAACTCAAACAGATCATTGTCTGGCAGCTTGGGAACACCCTCTAGTAATCCCGTAGGAGGAGGAGGAGCTGTAGTGTGAACTGATCCCTGAGACACACTGCTATTGATACTAGTAGACTCGGTTGATTCAACTACACTATAAACTAGTATACAAGAATCCTCCTTTCCTTTTTTATTCTCCACAATACAGCCGATTATGAGCGAGGGTGTAGACTGGGTACCAGCCGAGGCACGACCCTGTGCCTCCATTGCCACCATGCAGAGTGATGTGATACGAATTACTTTAGAGGCGTGGTCTGAGAGGAGGGTCTTTGTGGGCGTGGTCTTCTTGTCTCTCTTTCTAATGGACGGAGGAGAGTGGCTTGTTTTATTGAGTAGTTCTTGTTGTAGATTAATGATACCATATTCCTAATTAATGAAAATGAAACCATGAAATAAAATGGACATTTCTGATTAATCATCATTTTATTATTATTATTATTATTATTATTATTATTATTATTATTATTATTATTATTATTATTATTATTACCTGTAGAAATAGTCCGTGCTTTGTTTGCCACACCTGAATGTTGCCGTCGAGTGTCACCGTAGCAACAAGTGTGGTGTTGAGAGAGGGTGATATCAAATGAATTGGAGAAGAAACACAAACAGCAGGATGTGTAGCCTGAGTATCTTTAGAGAGAGAGAGAGAGGAGGAGGATGAGAAAACAATTGATAAGTTGAGGTTATCATTTAGATACAATAAAAGGAGAGATATTCAAAGCCAAAGATGTATACACTATGCCACCATTATATATACAACTATTCCCAAAGCTTACATCTTGCAGTAACGTTGACCGTGTACTCTCCTTTAACATAAGGGCAATTCTGAGAATGTCTCGTGTGCTCCGACCTAAGAATAGAATGAGGCGAGAGTCATGTGATGTCAGCAGTATTTGAACATCTTACCAAGGCTCGTCAGAAGAGAGCCACCTGTGAACGTACATACCACAAGTAAAGCAGGTGGTCCTGTCTCCTTTAGAATGAGCAAGACTACTGACAGTAGCACTGGCATTAAGCTATAATCAAGAGAGAGGTAGGCATACATCATGAATGATGCACAGTATATGGAGTTTAAAAAGAGAGAGAAAGAGTTAGAAATAAAAGTGGAGAGTGCTTGAGCATAATCTTACCAAAGGATATAGTCCTGCCTCAGCCATTTTGTTTGGTTCAGCCCAACTAAAAATTACCACATATAATGACATGTACATGTACATCACTTTCTTTGTTACAATTACTCTTACATGTAGTTTTTGTGTGGCCAGCTGCTGTAGGCTAGTCTTCTCATTCCCTCAGAATACATCAGTGACATGTCACCACTTCCTAACTTCTCCCTTCCTCCCTCCAGTTGAATGAGGCGAGCTGAGAAACTACGATTAAGCAATAGCAGCCTAAAAATGTCAAAGAAAAGACAGAGAGAGAGAGAGAAAGAGAGAGAGGGAGAGGGAGAGAGAGAGAGAGGGAGAGGGAGAGAGAGAGAGAGGGAGAGGGAGAGAGAGAGAGAGAGAGAGAGAGAGAGAGAGAGAGAGAGAGAGAGAGAGAGAGAGAGGGAGGGAGAGAAACATCAAAATTGGTTAACAAATCAAGTACAATATGTACATAATAAATACCTGAATCTAATTGCAGATAGTACTGGTACTACAGGAGAGAGTGTTACACCTGCTTCAGGTTTCGCTCCACTCTTGCTCGGTTGATACGGAGTACAGAGTTTCTTAAAGAGATCCAACAAGTCGTCAAGAGGTCCCTTAATGATACAGTAACGCCACTAGGGAAGGAGGAGGTGAAATACAAGTGTATAAATGAAATAAAAGGAGGAGGAAGTACATGATAAAAGCAATAAATTTTAGCTATCTTTTTAAATTATTTGAATTAATATATAAAGTACTAAAATAATGATAGAAAGTGTAGGTTAAAATTAAATTAATTTTATAATGTAATGTGGTACCTTTTTTGCTGAAGGGGGTGTGGCGAAACTACTGATATTGGTTCTGTCCACTGATTCATCTATAAATGTCTGAAGTGTTTTAGCAATATCTTTAACTAGGCCTGAGAGACCAGCTGGAATAACAGCCGATGTATTAATCTCGTGCAGCAATAATCGAACCTACGAATTTCACCAATTAAACGTTAATTAACATTAATCATCACTACTTTGTACACAATAAATACAAAACCCAACTTACGTCTTCCGGCAATATCTCAATGCTAATGGTTTCCTTTCCGTCATTGGGTATCGACTGGAACGCTGTATCTAAGAGGAACCTTCCCTTAGTAACCGACCCTCTGGCAGAGAGACAAGAGCCACGAGCAAGGAGGAGCTTACCAGAGGAGGAGACGAGAGAGGAAAGAATGGGATCTGAAGAAACTGGACTATCTGGATATAAAAAAGAAAGAATATAATAATAATAATAATTATTATTATTGCTACCTAGTGATCCCAATAGTGTTTCTAGTGTAGAGTCGTAGAAATGTGCTGCTCCTTTAGCATCTGTCAGGACCAGGATGCCTTCATCCGGTAAGTAAGTGAGTGACTGGTGGGAAATTGGCCCACGGCCATCGCCTGAGGGCTTGGGAGAGACTGTATTCAGTTCAGCATCTGAAGCCATTACTGAGCCTCCTCCCTCTTCTGAGAGTGGGCGTGTCACCAACCACGCCCACAGCAAAAATGACAAAATGATTATTATTGAAAAAAATTATTATTCTTTACTAAAATGAAAAACCCTACTACAGTACACACAAATAATGATCAATTATGATTTAAAATAAGAAAAAATCCACTACAGTCTGACTATACCGCTATCATGCTAAAAGTTTTTGCTATCAAAAGTTATTGCAACACAAGGAGAGCTTCAATCTTCTTTGCAGGACCAGACAAAGACACTGCAAACAAAGCAAAAAAAAGACATAAATAAATAATTAATAATGATTCTATATGCAAAAAAACAACCCTAAAAATCCAAATATATTTATTAATTCGTAGAAAATATCTACAAGCTAAACTCTGCATTCAAATCCTCACCTACTCCTTACAATAACAGATTAACACAGAATACAAAAAAGAGGCTATTACTATTATCATATTACCATGAATCATCGCCACCAGCAGACAGCAAATACTTGTCATCAAATGTAAACTTGACGTTAGTTACATGAGCAGAATGACCAAAGAATTTTTTATGACTAGCCTACAAAAAATAGAAATTAACATGGTGCATAAATGGAATTATACTATTATCATAAAAATGTGGGTACATCCATATACTTACATATGGCTCAGAGACTGGGAATTTGGGGAACAATTTGACACACCCATAATCGTCTCCGGTAGCAACGGCAGTACCAGATGGATTCACATGTGCCGTATTGACGTCTGCCTTGTCAGCATTTTTAGGCCAAATACCTTGAACTTCTTCGCCAAGTATGCTACAAGAAAAGAAAGAGATATGTGAAGGATAAAATTCTTAGTACATTTATAAGTATACTAGTAATTATTTCTTACCAGGTCCAGGTAGCCCAAGTTATTCCTTCAGGGTTAGTAACCAGTTTGCCTGTTTGAGCCTCAAAAATTAACTTTTTGTCGTAGCCACAACAAGTCTATACAAGAAAACAAAACGGAAGCAAGTTATTTTGTTGATACTCTCTCTTATAATAATCTCCTTTTCTCTCTCTCTCTCTCCATACTCCACAATAGCATGATATATTTATGACGATATCTGATGGTTCTAATCGCTTATTTACTTGTAGGTATTTGGAGTCGTTAGACCAGTCAATGTGAGTCACACTGCTAGGTATACCCCGGCAATAGCTAGTGCGTACCGGACCCTTATCCCCAAGGGAACTGATATCATAAATATCAACACAAGCATCATCAGAACCCACTGCAAGCAAAACACCATCAGGACTGAACCTAAGAGGAACCAGAATATGTATTATGCATAAATATAAAAAGGCAAATGTACAATGTATAAATAAAGTTATTATTTATTTTCTTACTTGACTACTTGTAGGGCTTTGCTCCTGTCTCTCTTTTGAGCTACCAATTGGCTCAAATCGGCAAATTTGAGTATCAAGAATTCTCCGTTGTGGAGCCCAACAGCAAGGAGCTCACTATCAGGTGATATGTCAGTGGAAGCCGCTTCTTGATCTAACTGACGGACATTAAGACATGTCTGATGGAGAGAGAGAGAGAGAGAGAGAAAGAGAGAGAGTTACAAGTACACAGTTAATATGAGGAGACGTTACCTTAGTATCAAGAGACCAGGTACAGACTGTCTTATCACATGACGCAGTAGCAAAGTCATGTGACTGCTGTGAGACGGCCAGACCCCACAGCTCACCCTCAGAGTGACCGTGAAGCAATACCTATAGATAATAATCAGATATTTCTTCATTCTTTCCTCCTTCTCACCTTAGATTCAGAGGTATTAGTGTCTATCTCCAGTATATCACTGCTTTGGGTACCAACTAATATCTTACCCTATAAAACACAGCAACAATAAACAGCATTCATTGATAGTAGGATAGTATTATTATTATTATGCTAACATTATTTCCTTGAGAGATGGATCGAACGGTTGATTTAGGACACTGGGTGAGTTTATACTCCTGAGCCTCCTTCATTCCAATGTCCCATACTTTAACAACAGCATCAGTACTGTTGAGACAGAAAGCCCATTTATTATTTTCTTTAACAATTAAAAATGACTTGCCTTCTTTCTTTGCCTCCGGAAATGATCTTGTTCTCTTTAAGTGAGCTGTACATAGCAAAGACAGGCCCAGTGTGGGCCCTCTCTATGACCTTAGACAGTATGTGACCTTTCCACATGAACACGTCACCACTGATGGAACCGGTAAATGTGACATCATTCTGTGGACGAGAAGAAATAATGAGCATTTAGTTGATTTCAGTCAAAATTAGATTTTTAATAAATTTAAAAAATTTGACCAATGACCATGGGCTATAGTACAGGGATTTTGGCCAAATTTCGCCAAAAATGACCAGGAGAGAATTCTTGTATCAGAAAATGCATGTATAAATATATAATAAAAACAGAGAAATAACATTGCAATTTTAAGCTAATGGGATTATTAATAAACAATTACAAAACTCACAGGAGCAAATGCAATTGACAGCATGGTCTGCATTCTATAGTCGGTTTTGCTGCTGACGTTGATGGTCCCTCTCTTACTCAGGAGCTTAGAGCCGGCAAGACTCCAGAACCGAACGTGCTGGACACCAACGGACACAAACTTGTTAGTTGAATCAGGTCTGAACTGAGCAAGGAATATCCTATTGACGCTACCAGTAGCCTGAGCCATCTTAGTACCTGGAGAAGTAAAGATTATAAAGAAAGAAAAGTACTCTAAAAATCTTTAAATTAAAAAATAACTGTAAACTATATTTCAATATCTACATACATGTACATTTAAATATATGCAAAATAAGTACAAATAATTATGAAGTAAAATACATACAATACATGAACATTTGTAAAATGACTTGATGCTTACCTTCAGCCCACCTCCACACGGTAATAGAGTGCTTAGAATCAAGACCCACTGCCAGCAACAGTTTCCCATTGTGACTGAAATCAACGCTACAGACCCCCACAGAGTGGGCCCCCTGGAGTATTGAGAGCGGCTGTCTCTTCTCAATATCCCAAACGTGTACTGGACCGTTCTTTCCAATTTGACCGGTAGCAACAACATTAGGAGCCTTGGGGCTGGGGTTCAGGGCAAGACACACGATGTCGTCATTGTGCTCTAAATAGAAACTCTGAGTCTGTGTGTCCTCGTTGTATATGATCCCGGCACCAGCAGCATGATATATAAACTGGTTTGGTGAGGTGTAGAACAGGTTCTGACGAGTGTCGAAACCACGATACCCAAATATAAAGTCTAGGGACAAATCCTAAAATTAATAAAGAAGGATAGAAAAACAATAAATATATGTCATTCATTCAAGCATGCAAAAGTTACATGTACATAAGTTTTAAAACTTTTTAAAAACTTTTTATTTTTAAGATAAAGAGGCAAAAACTATGCAAATTCATACACAAACACACATACATGTACATGTACTTTTCTCTTCTCTCTCTCTCTCTCCCTCTCTCTCTTACTTTAACATCAACAGTCTCTTCTTCTGGTCTAGTGGTCACTTTTGGTGTTACGGTCACATTCCGACTGGCACCTTTACGAGGCGCCTTCAGAGATGAATCGACAGGTTGTGGTTTAGCTCCACCCAGAGTAGCCTCACGTATCGGATTAACATAAGTCTTACTCACATAATCGATGGTCCTCTCTCTCTCAACGTCACTATCAAACCCACCTAAAGAGAAAAAAAAACAAAACATACAGTATTGAGCACATCAGCTTAAATCCTCTAGAAATGACGATAAATAAATGTAACAAAAATACCTTCTTCCTCATCTTCACTGTCAGTGTTCTCTCCTTCCTCAAGGGCAGAGAGAGAAGGAGCTCCATCATGGGACCACACAAGTATGCTAGTATCACCTCCACCAGTGGATATCAGTTTATTATTGTCAGAGCTGAAGCGTACATTAGTGACGTGGGCAGAGTGACCCACATACTGCTTGCTCTTAGCATGCTTACCCTGATAGAAACAAACACATTTATAATAATAATAACAATAATAATAATAATATTCGATGTTAACGAATAAAAAAGCAGTTAAAATAAGGACGTTCTTTAAGGAATATTTTGTATTAATAAAACAATTGTATTTAAATATTTTAAGTAAGGATCTTCTTTTTACAATAACTTACAAAGGATGGATACTTGAATAGTTTAACGTATCCAAAGTCATCACCGGTTGCAATCACTCGGCCGTCACGCGACACACAGGACGCATTAACGTCGGTGACATCGGTATATGGTGGCCATATACCGGTGCAGGACTCACCAAGGACACAGGTCCAGGTGTCCCACGTTATCTCAGTTGCGTCTTCTTTAGTGATGAACTGTTGCTTGCCTCTCGGGGCCTCGAAATAAAGGACTTCTCTATCACCAGTATTGAGCTGTATCAGTTTACCTTATGGAAACAACAACAACAACAACAACAACAATAATAATAATGACAATAATAATAATAATAATAATAATGATAATAATAATGACATTAGTAATAATAATAAATTCCCTCTATTTTCCCCAGTTTTATGACCATCTATCCATACCTAGCTGATCCCAGTCGATATGTGTCACATAGCTTGACATTCCTTTGCAAATTCCGACCCTCTTCTGACCAACAAGACTGTATATGTCAACGAAATTATCATGAGAGCCAACTGCAAGATATTTCCCGTCTATAAATTTAAAAAAATAAATAAATCAGAATATAATTAAATCAATCAAAGTCTGACTTGGTGAGAATTTGATATCAGAGAGTTCTTCTTTCCTGTGATTGAATGAAGCAAGTTTCTCCTTAGAATCAGTATTAATCACAATAAAACTACCTACAGAGATACACAATAAATAACATTAAAATGCAGAATCTTCAAACACAAATACAAGTATATAAATTGTACACATACTTGTGCCATATCTTACCATCTTTCATGCCAATAGCCAGTGCTCCTCCGTCATGAGAGAAGGCGACACACCTCACTGCTTTACCAACGTTTGTAACAACATCAATCATGGAGTGTTTATCGGTATCCCATAGCCTCACAGTACCATCGTCACTACCCGTACATATAACAGGTTTAACCGGATGGACAGCTAATCCCCACAACTCTCCTTCCATGTGACCCTATAAAATCAGTGAGTGTTAAAAACACACACACACACACACACATACACACACAAACTTCTTACTTGTATAAGTATCCTAATCTCACCATTCTTGTGGAGATCAAGTATCTGAAAAGAGGAGACAACCATGGTAACCCACCACCCACATACTAAATTAAAACATGTACATGTATGTCACTACTCACACTAGTCACAATAGCAGTATCAGTTATGATATATAATAGTACTCATTGCATGGATAGCTCATACAAGAGGTGTCAGAATAATAGTCATATCATCATTTACTACCAATTGCTACATTATTAGTACATCAATCAATCACTCAATGTACATGTACATGTACTGATGTGACTGCATCTATTACATGTACATGTACATATGCTATGGACCATGGTCCCCTTACTTCAGAGTTCTTAGTTCCAACAAGGATTGAGTCAGCTCCTAGGGATATAGCTCTGACAGGAGGAGAGTCAACCGTCAGTGAAGAGGGGGAGACAACCTTGCCCTGTTCAAGCTGGTATGACTTTAATACTGATCGGAACGAATCATCCCAGAGCTTAACATGACCATCTTTACCACCAGTCAGATAACCCTACACCATAGAATCAATAATGAATCAAATCAGAATCAAGTTGAATCAGTATGAATCAATACTTAATCAGTGGCAGTATCAGTTTATGATATATATCTATAAGTACTCATTGGATATCTCATACAAGAGGTGTCAGAATAGGATTTATATCATCATTTACTACCACTGCAAGCATAAACATTATTAATTTATTATCATTTATAAATCAGAAATAAATAAATATAGCATACACATTATAATACATAATAAATAAAAATAAAATTATAATAAATATTAAATATATAAAATAAATATAAAAATACACAATAATTATAACATACAATATAACATAGACACATGTACCTTCTCAGCAGGTTCTATTATAAAGACAGGGCCAGTGTGTGCCTCAAGTGCATGGATGCAGGCTGTCTTATTCCACTCATAAACCTTTCCATCAGCTCCACCCGTAAAGCACTGTTCCTCCTTATTCCCATACACTCCACAAAGCATTGTGATGGGTTTGCCATGCTTACCAAATACGCCACGCTTTGAAGTAAAACCACCACCTGAAAACAAAGAAATAATAAAACAAAGACAAACAAACATGGTTATAGTAATGTATACTAATAATTAATACAATATGCATGCATGAGGTGTGTATAAAATAAATACATTCAAACTACTAGTGTACATTCATGTATGTGTTTTTATTTCTTACCAACTTGATTCCAGAACTTAATGTGTTTCATACCGACTGTCAGGAGTTGGTTCTCGTTCAGTGGGTTCCATTTTATCATGAAGAGCTTGTCCTTGTGGGCTCTGGCCGTTGCTAGCTTCTCTCCTTTCTTCCAGTTCCATACAACAATGCTGTGGTCATCATCCAAACCAATTGAAGCTAACCTCTTGCCATCACCTTAAGAGAGAAGAGATATAAAATACACGTACATTGTACATGTATGTATTGTGTATGACACTGGTAATTTTGGTATGGCAAATTGCTTAAATTTTTGGTGATGGGTATCAAAATGTCAAATTTGAAAAGGATTTTCGCCTCCAAAATGACCATCCTATACCCACTACATGTATATCTTACCTGAGAAGTCAACAGCACAGACTCCCCTATAGTGTTCTCCCTGCAGTACAGACAAGCACTCCATGCTGTCAGAATCCCATATATGAATACTAGGATCTCTTCCAATCTGACCAGTTGCTACATAATCAGACGTTGGATGAAGGGCGAGGCAGAGGATGTCATCGTTGTGAGATGAGTAGTATTTTTGTTTGTGAGTGTCCTTGTTGTAGACGATACCAAGAGCTGCTACATGATAGACAATGTCACCACTCTTTGTGTAGTAGAGGTTGCCACGACAATCATAACCTCGGTAACTAAAAGGACAAAGTTATAAATAGGTTTACATGTAATTATTTAAAGCTCTCTCTCTCTCTCTCTCTATTTCTCTCTTTGGTGTTACCCGTGTACAAATTCCAGTGTTAAAGATGACTGAGGTGGTTCATCTTTCTTTCCCTGAGCGGAGCCGCTCTTCACTCCTCTCCGCTTTGGACCAGCTGGCCTTGAAGACTCCTCCTCTTTTTCCTTCTCTTGCATCTTCTCCTTTAGTTTGACGAGATCCTCTCGATACACAACTCTACAACATTAATCATAAGTAGCAGTACATAAAATTAAAGTATTATAGTAATGTACATGTAGTTGTAGCCAGTTTTTAAGTCTTTGAAAATTCATAAAAAATCTAATTTTGATCAGAATCAGCTCAAACTTGCTACACAACATAAGAACATGTATATGTATCAGAAAAAATTATAAAAATGGAAAATTCTCTCCTAGTCATTTTTGGCGAAATTTGGTCAAAATCCCTGTACTATAGTACAGGGACTTTGGCCCGATTTTTGAGTAACTTTAAGAATTCGTAAAAAATCCAATTTTGACTGGAATCAGCTCAAACTTGCTAGACAACATAAGAACATGTATATATACCAAAATAAATTATAAAAATAGAAAATTTTCTCCTAGTCATTTTTGATGAAATTTGTGGTCAAAATCCCTATACTACAGTACAGGGTCTTTAGCCTAATTTATGAGTAACTTTACAAGGGCCAGCCTTCTACCTGTCATAGCTCTTTTCTTGCTCCCTCTCAATGTCAGAGTCCATCGATCCGACATCAGACAAGTCGCTGTCGCTAGCTTCACTATCAGTATCAGTATCTAATGGTATAACAGGAACAGAGTCACAAATGAAGCAAACATAAAGTATACTAAATCTCCCCCCTCTGTCTCTCTCTCTGTCACTCTATCAATAATGCCTCTCTCTTACAGGCTCCAGTCAGTAAAGGATCTCCAGTCTCATCCTCTTCCTCCTCCTCCTCCCCCTCCTCTCCGTTGGGTAGGAACCTCCATTGGAACACTCCGTGATCACCTCCTCCGGTTGAAATGATCTGTCTCTTGTCAGAGAGGAACCTCACATTGGTGACGTGAGCAGAATGACCCGTGTACTTCTTATACTTGGCACCTAATAAATAGAGAAAGATGAAAATACATTTGTCAAACCATGCATGCATATATCATACTTCTACTACAAATATAAAATAGCAGTTGGTATGTCATACTAGTTTCATACAGTAGTTTTCACATATCCCATTTCTACTATTAATTCAAACATACATGTACGTGTATGTACATGTACAAGAATCGTACATGCTACACTCGTAACAACATACAGTAGTCAATATTATTATTATTTTCTTACCTTTCTTGACTGTTGGGTAGCGGAATAGCTTAACAAGGCCAAAATCGTCTCCAGTAACAATGACATTGTGATCAAAGGAAACATCAGTAGCATTGACATCATTCACTTGACTGTACTTAGGCCAAATACCCAGGACTTCAGTCCCTATATATGTATGCATTAATAATACAAAAATCAACACTAAATGCAGCATATATTAGCAAGAGTAAAGTACATTAGCAGTTCCTTAATACATTAATTAACAATGACCCTGCAAGTATCACACATTAATTTACCTAGTACACCAGTAAAGCTGGACCACTTGATAGGATCAATCTCTTCTTTCTTTACAACACGAGAACAATCTGGAAAAGAGAGAGGGGGGAGAGAGAGAGATGATGAGGGCTAATATCATGGTTAATATCTCAAAAACAAATTAAATTAATGAAGCACATATATGAGTGACTAAGTGAGGGAGTGATTCCATAGTGAGTAAAAGGATTCCATACATATGTACACTATACTAATAACACTACACTCACACACTCACACAAGCATTACTAATAATAATAGTAATAGTAGCTAGGACAATAGCTTTTGTAGAACGTGCAGTTGTAGCTTATGTATGAAACCTTGTGACTATATTGACAGTCATTGTTCATTGTTTTAACATGTAACGTAAGGGGTGAGACAATAATCATAAAATACACTGGAAACATATGGAACAAGAAACATCATGTTTTATGCAGGAAACATAAGTCAAACAGGCATGTACATTGTACATGCTGAATTTTTCCCACAGGGCAGCTACAATGCATGACTACTAAAATAGAGTAATATTTATTATGAATAAAAGGAGCAAACAATTAAAAAATAAGAAGAATAATAGATAATAAGAAAATAATAGTTCCTAAAAGGTAAAAAGAATTCTCTGTGTGTGCACATATATAATATATACCAAGAGTACATCACGAAGTTTCTATTGAAGCCTTTCTTTCATAATCTTTTCATCTCTCATAGCAGGAATGAGCCCCTCTTCAAATGCAATAGAGAGTAGTACATCAGGGTCAGTGGTCTCTGGATACTGGCACAAGGCCCACTTGATATACACAAGAAACTCGTACCAATCAACATATCCATCCTGATCCATATCAAGGGCTTTCATTGCCTTCTTTGTTCTATCACACCTATAGCAGCCAAAGTAAGGAGCCATGAAGCCATGATAGAATGAGTCAAAGAGAAGCATCCCATCTCCCTTGTCATCACCTTCTTCTTGATTATCCCAGCGATCCCATTCTTTCCTTATCTCATCAATAAGGCCTTGATGATGAGACGAATTGAGAGAAACTTTAGATATTGCTTCACCCATTTCAGGCGTCAGCTTGCCACCTGCTTTATCAAACAGGAGAGCAATACCAGCTGGACTGTGATACTCCTCCTTCTTACCAGACCGTAGATCAAGGAGCATTTGCTCTTTCATTTTGCCACACAACTCATCGTTGAACTGCTCATGGTCTCCAAAGAGATTAACCAATCTGTCCTTTATCATCTCAACTGTAGCGAGTGTTGTTATCCTGTTTGGAGTCTCAATGCCAAAGAACTCGGCTAGATCAAAGTCGCCCACTCCAGCAGACCCGAGGACCAAATCAACTGCTCTTTCCCCATACACAACCTGTTTAGGATGAGGAGGCTTACCAGTTGTTAGTTTAGTGACAGCCATGGCTGACTTACGAAGCTGAGTACAATTATACTTTTTGAGTATCTTTGTGTTGCCGAGTCTAACAAGATTCATCATCGTCACTGCTGAAGAAGCGTGACCAAGAGCCGCTCCCTCTTCACAGAGACTAGCCCAAACGCCATCGGCTCCGGCTCCTAGACAATCCAGCTGGGAGGCAGTCTGGAGGTCCCATTTCTGATGTATGTGAACCAAGAGTCTACCCTCAGGCCAACCACAGGAGACCATTATCCTACGCACACTGGC